TTGATTGGCTGACCTCACGTTCACAGTTGGCTCGCGCCTTGCCCCGCATTTCCGTCGTTGTCTTCGCTTATCACACAGACTATATTAACCCTATGGGTCTATGGCATTTCTGAAATGACCGGAGTTCTATACGCCGCCGCCGTGTACAAGTATAAGTGTACACGCTGCCGCCGCCGGACAAGGCGCGAGCATAAGAAGCTTGCCACAGAAGTTCCTAAAAATTTTTTTTTTTTTCGGGGATGGGGAAGCATGAGACCGGTATTCCAAATCCTGGCTCCTACCTGGAAGGGGAAGCTAGGGCACGTCAAAGCAGTGGGCTCGTGCGTTTCCTGCACTGCACGGCGTGGCAGGGTCGTTTCCGAGCGCAGCATCGGTCGGAGGACACGGCGTAAAAGACGGGGCTGTGCACTTGCAAGGCAACGTCGCCGCGTGTGCCAAGCCGCCAGAATTAGCAACATTTTTTTTTTTTTTTTTCAGAGAACGGGGCGCGATGCGATGCATTTGCTCACGCCTCTTTGAGCTGTTCGTACAAAACAGCGCTGTGAAAGCCGGTGATATGTCTGTACTCGCCTGCGGGTGCTGCGCGTGACCCCATGCTGTCGTTTATTGGCAAGGGGTTGTGTATGTACCTAATACGAAGATTTGATTGATTGATTTGTGGGGTTCAACGTCCCAAAACCACGATATGATTATGAGAGACGCCGTAGTGGAGGGCTCCGGAAATTTAGACCACCTGGGGTTCTTTAACGTGCACCCAAATCTGAGCAGACGGGCCTACACGACATTTCCGCCTCCATCGGAAATGCAGCCGCCGCAGCCGGGATTCGAACCCGCGCCCTGCGGGTCAGCAGCCGAGTACCTTAGCCACTAGACCACCGCGGCGGGGCATACGAAGATTTGTGCGGATGTCCAATGCTTAATGTAGTCTTTTTTTTTTTTCTTTTTTTTTTTTTGCGAGCAGTGCCGTGGGGGTTCAACCGACCATATGCATGTTCCTGCGCGTGTTTGTGTCTGTGTGCAAACTTAAAAATTTCTTGTGGAGGGCGGCAAACCCCCCTCCCAACCCTACCTGGCTACGTCGATGATCCAATGCATTGCTGTAGCGGTTCTGCCGTTAGGGCGAAAGAGGACATCCAAGTTTGGCTCTTTAAGTTTAGCGCCAAAAATCTCCACCTTGTCCTCTCATGGTCCTCTTTTTATGTGACGTCACGTTTGCAATGAAAGCTTCAGAAATTGTGTGCTTAGTTAATGGTTCCTTCACCACACAGTAATTTTTTGTTTATTGTTTTTACGGACAGACTGTTAGTTATATAAACCAGATCAAAAGAGCCAAAATTTATGACGTCATGGTGAGAGTTGCAGCGGGAGTTTCAAAAAGGCGTCGCCAGTGATTTTTAAATTTTTTGTGGGTCGCATAACATATCCTATTTGGTGCGATATAAAGCTAGCTTTTTTTTTTTCAACAAGTGAAATCTCAAGTCAAGCTTGCACTATTTATACGGCAGAATTTCTAAGAAATTATGAGCATAGAAAGAATATGTCAACAGCAGAACTGATTTGGCGGCTCCTCCTCAAGTCAAGAAAGTACTTTTATTTCTTTTAGATGCAACGTGTCAGCCATCATATACCTTTAGTTCTTTTATTTTTCTCGAGGCAATATAAGGGATAAAAAGTTAAGACACATCCGCGCCGCGGTGTGTGTTAAAGATCGTGCTGGTTTCTACGCTCTAAAACGGGGTTTCGATTCCGGCGGCCGCACATCGATCAAATGAAGTACGAAAAAAAAAAAAATCTCTGTACGGTGCGGCACACTGTCAAAAGGAGCGTTCCAATGAGCACAGTTCATACTGCTGGCTCCGAACACTAGTACACGTGTAAATATTATTGATGCACGGCACTACTTTGTCAAAAAGGACTAACAGTCAACCACCAGTAGTCTTGTGCAAGTCCAAGTCTCTGACTTTTGGGCCGTTCCACGCGCTTCCCGCACAGCCGCAACGCATGTGTCGGGACCCCTACCGCACGCAAGCGGGAAACAAATAAGCCAATTGGTGACGCTGCGGAGGGTGAAAGAGCGTCGCCAATTGGCTTATTTGTTTCCCGCTTGCATGCGGTAGAGGTCCTGGCACGTGCGTTGCGGCTGTGCGGGAAGCGCGTGGAACGGCCCTTAGCAAGAGTGGGGCGTATCGACATTCCCTGCATGCAATTGCTCCCTTTAATGGCAGAGACGTCTTTACATTAAAAAAAAAAAAAACTTGTTTCTCGGTCCGCGCTAAGAATGACAAAACAACAAATGTGTTTATCTTCCCTGAGATACCACGACGATCGGCGTGCGAATCCGCTCAGTGTACATTGGCGGACAACACACCGAAAGCGATAGATTACTCATCTTGTAATCTGCATCAACCGAGAACCGACCGATATCTATGTATACCATGCGCTGCACTTTTGTCTAATCGGTGTTTGAGCAAGATATCATCGCCTTCCCAATGTCGCGATGCTCGACTGCAGACCCGAAGGTCGCGGGATCGAACACCGGCCGCTGCTCTGCATTTCAATGGCGGCTAACTGTTTGAGGCCCGCGTAGTTAGATTTAGGTGAAACTTTAAGAACATCTGCAGATGGTCGAAATTTTCGGAGCCCTCCACTACAGCGTTTCTCATAATAATGTCGTGATTTTGGACCAATAACCACGATAATTATTTGCAATGCTGTTGACAAATGATAAAGGCACGACGTTGTATGTGTTTAGTATGCTTGTTGCACAGCTACGCTGTCACTTTTTTTTTTATATACAGTCTGCAATGACATTGCGACTGAACTGACCGGACTGCACATGGACTGCTCGTATGCATGACACCTGAACTCGTGCATTTGCGCAAGCCATGCAGTGTCAAATTTTTGGTGGTGTTGCAAGTGTGAAACCAATTAATCCCAGCCTTGGAACGAGTGTATGGTTTTTCTTCAGTAAAACTCTATTGCTTGCATTCTATTGAATCGTACCAGTGATGCAGGGGCGGAGTCTGGAATTTCGTTCGGGGAGAGGCAGATAGGGGGTTAGACCATACTTTCTATGCTTGTGCGCGCGTTTATGTGTGTAATATACGAAAGCGAAATTGAAAATTGTTTTTATTTGGGGGAGGGGGGTGACCCTTCCACTCACCCCCCAACCCCGTTTGCTATGCCACTGCAGTAATGACTGGCACAATTTGGACAGTGTCGGCACTTTATTTGTTACGCACACATGTCGCTGGAGAGTGCTCCAGTAAAAAGGCGGAAACAAGTTTGTGCATATGTCGATGGCCTAAGGTGAAACAAGTTTGATGAAACAAGTAAGACGAAACAAGTTTCTAGGGACCTTATGATGTCCAAATGCACAATGCCACTTCGATTAAGAGATCGCAGGTGAATTAAAGCTTGTATTCGAAGATTCCACGAAGATTTCGGTCAGAAACCGACCTCTTTCGTGCGGGAATTACGCATGCCGCATTGAAGAACTATAGATAGCTTCTGTTATTGGAAAATTAGGTAGTTAATGGCATGATGGGGCGATATCGTCTTGTGTTCCTGTGATTTGAGCTGTTTGAGCACTTCGTTAATGAGGACTCAACCATGCACAGTGAAATGGAACCCCGCTTTATACGTTTTTCCCGCGTTTAACGTTTCTGGAGTTTGAGCAAGGAATATACATACACACTGCACTGAAGTTAGGAGCTTATCAAGAATTTCGTTTATTTATTTTTATGGACGAGGTGGGGGGGGGGGAGGCATAAGTGCAAGTATGGAAGACATGACTCGTGCGTGGAATGTTTTTTTTTTTTTTTTCCCTGTTGAACATATATCTTTTTCGCACGACGTTCCCGTAACGTTGCTAACTCTCACTACAGCTACTCTGGTTATGCTGAAGGCACAGAGTTTCCCAATATTAACATTAAGAAACTCTATGGCTAAAGGGGGTATAGCCCATTGACATATAATGTCAATGGGCTAGATGATGTGGCCATTCAAGATCCCGGAAACGCTTTGGTGCTGGCGAAGACGCAAAAAAAAAAAAAAGGCAGATTTTCACAAATAATTTATTCTGAGGTGGAGCTCTACAGTGCGTTTGTTTTATTTAGTAGAACTGCCCTATTTCAACAGTATGTTTGAATAATACGTTTCTCTCTCCGGATACGGCGTTCTTTTTTTCGCGGTCCAGTCTAAACCTTATCAGAGGGGATCCACATATAGCGCATTCCGATCATGCATGGGATAGACTTATTACACAGCATGTTACAAGAAGTTAACTCTTGCAGACACGTTCCACAAAAGCAGACGGCACGATTAAACCTTGGCATACCTACAAGAAGAAGAGCTTCCTGCTACGTCATCACTACACGTGCCCGGCTGTCGAAACGTCACGCCAGCGTCCGCGGCATGTCGCTAGCGGCGCGAACAGCGTAGCCGCACCACACTCCTTGGACAATGTCGGCGTGAAAATTAGTCGCACGCGTTCCTTTATACGTACTACACGCGCCGCAAGAAAAAGCACCAGGCGCGCGCACTTTGCATAAATCGATAAGAGAGCCCTTCGCAACACCGCTCGTGCTTTTCGGTCTAGCGCTCGTTGCCGTGCCGTCTTAATGAAACGACACAAACGTAAACAACGAACAAAACTGTGCAAAGTACGCGTTGCGCCGTTTCGCTTATCCGCTGCAACCCCCGCCCCGCCGTCCAGTTTCCGCTGCCGTATCACGTCGCGGCCCTTTTGCAACCGACGCGATCTTAACGCAATCTTGATAGTCCGTACAAACGCGTTAAACTCCTTTTTCTGGTAGTGTCTCTGGGCGTACTGAAAAGGCTGAAAACGAGTCGCACACCTAGGGCTAGCCGCGGTGTATTTCCTCCCGGTGCCTGTCCGATATTCGCTTGAATGCGTTCTCAGCTAGCTCCGCAACTAGGGCAGGCTGCACGCTTCGCACCGCGTCGGCTAATGGCTTGAAGCGAAGGTTCATCCCTTGAAAAGAGCGTTTTTTGCCAGGGTGCGCGGGAGAAGGAAAGAGAAAAAAAAAAGAGTAGGGGCTGCTCCTTCTCTGAAAGTACGAGACAAAAGCAGATACCACCGAACACAGCGATCCTTGCATCCCCACGGACTCTTCTTGACGCTTCTGCGAGGTGTGGAGGGGAGTGAGTGAGCCTGCCGTGTGCTTCTCCCGTACGCAACTCCGGAACCGGAAACAGCGTGAAAAAACCCCCCCGTGTCGCCATTTCGTCCGTGTGTGTGTGTCTTCTTGTGGATGTTTTGTCAACAGTGTCGGAATCCCGAGCGTTTTCTGGCATCGTTAGGCGCTTCGTGGAACGCCAGCGAGCCTCGGAATGGCAGGCCCAGGCACTCGCTCGTAAGTACGGGTCCAGCGCGCGAGTAGCCCAGCGCGCCGCTCGTACGGCAACCCTCCGTACCGACCGGCCCGACCGTAGGGTTAGTGCGGTCTCTCGCTTGGTTGGTCCTCCTATTCACAATGGGGGCTTTTAATGCGGTGGCTCTGTGTGCGTGCTTTCGCGATTGACGTTTAACCTTTCGTATCGGGTTAGCGGACCCTTTAGACGCCGACGATGGACTTGTCCCTCGTAGCAGGTGAGTACCCGAGATCTCAGGATTAGAGCCGCTTTTTTTTTTTCTTTTTTTTCTCTCTGCGTTTGACCGGGAACCGTTTAGTAGGTGGTGGTGCTGGGGCTGCTGCTTCACTTGTCATCCGGCGCGACTGCACTTTCGGCCAGTCGTCGCCGGGCAAAAAACATCGGCGAGATAACACGCCCGAGTTTTGACGGCTCCCCCCAGCTAACGCCTCGGTTTGCCCTCGCCCGAGAAAAAAAGAGAAAGAAAAGCAACATCTCGTGACGGAAAGTTGAGTGATCCGACTTTTAACTCGTACACGCGTCAAGGCCGCCGTAAAAAGATGTGGTGGATTTTCGAGAAACCGAAGGTGTATTGCTATTCTCTGTTCCTGATCCTCGGTTTACACACTACGCGGATGGGCGCCAAGTTGACGGTACAGCTGCGGTTCTCCGCGTTTAGGTTGCGCCTCACTTCGAAGCCGACAGCTAGCTCATTCTTTTCTTCCTCGTCTTTTCCTCGTATTTATTCGCGTTCGGTGGTCGTGCTGCGAGCCTCGCAAAGCCGCCGCCGTCTGGCAAAGGTCTTCCATAGTCCTCTATATGACGCGCGCACGGTGGTTACAATGGATGGTGCACTCCGGCCATGGTGCAAACCTGAGCCTTGGCTTCGACTGTTGTGTAGCGCGACAGATTTACCGGGGCAACGTTACGATGGGCGCCGCTTTCTCGGCCATTTAGTAAGCGTTTACGAAACGTGGTGTTTGTTGTATGTAGCATCTTCTACGGGAAAGAGGTGATCTGCTTTTAACCGAGGCCGTGCGACCGTGACTGGCGTTTGCCGCGTTCACCGTTTCGCTTGACCGCAGGTTTCTACGATGGCGTTGAGGTGTGATGGACATCAAGGATCTGGTCTTTCCGGACCCGCGCTTGGACACCATGAAGGCATGGACTGGAGGGTTAGGTCAGTTAGAAAGTGAGTACCACCGCCTTTGAAGCTCTTGATGTTTGAACAAACAAACGCAACCAGTGTCTTAGCAGTCCCCTCTTACCTGTAGTAAACATTCGACAGTTTGACGCTTGCTCGGCTATGCAGAGCTCGCTGTTATGTGTGTCCTATCAGTTGTGTGACCTTAACGGTAGCTTTTACAATAGTTAATAACCGAAGCCCTTTGGGACGTTGTTTCTGTTTGGTTATGATTGTAAATGTTGCGGTTCATTCTGATTTGCGCTACACGGATTGTATTTGCTCGTTATTGCTGTGTTTTGACATACGCCGTGAGCAAGTACCGATGTGATTTACCCTCAGCAACTTGGTTGAATGAGTGCTTTTGTCCTATATAAGCTTGGAGTTTAATGGGTGCGCTCACTGTTTCATCAAAACCAGTGTGTCGCGTGAGTGATTGACTGTACTGCATCTCTAGCCCACCTAAACATTGTGGACTAAGTTTTCTTTCAAAATGTTCAGCATCGTGCCAACTGTCATTAGTGTTGAACGTGAAGTCTTGTTTTCATTATGACTGTACATGGTGATATTTAGGGTTCATTGTGTTGCATCTATGGACAACTCATATAAGCTAGCTACAGTTGAGGTTCTAAGTAGGACATTTCTACGCAATGTGTTAGCAAACGACCTCTCCACACACACAAAAAAAAAATGATAGGTGGCCGGCGGCGTGGAAGTTCCAGAATTTTCTGGGCTAGACCACTGATATGTCCTGGGTTCTTTGGCACATGCTTTGACTTATTTAGTCATTTATCAGTACAACTGGGCTGCAGTGTATGTTGAAGCAGCTTCTAAAGGTTGTCGCACCACAATGGCCAACAAAAGAATACTAAGGAAGTTCCAGAAGTTTCCATGCTAGTCCATTGATTCTGATGAAACAGGCTTTGCCTGATTTGTTCATCAGTAAGGCGGTGCTACATTGTATTTTTAAGGAGCGAAAGATAGGTAATCTTCGAAATTCTGGTTACACCGCGATGGCCTGCAATGGAATAATAATGACATTTGGGTCGTCGCGCAGACATGCCATCGCTGGGGTTTGGTGCAAGAGGAGCTGTGAATGTCCTTTTTATTTATGGTAAATGATCTACTGCTGCAATATTAATGAAAATAAAGTATTGAGATGACTCCTTATTAAGCCAAAGCATTTGTTAGTGAACCGACCTTGTGTGCATAAAGCTAGTTAGACCGCCTGCAACTTTGTGCTCTCGGGGCCGTTTTGTGAACGTGATCTATACGAAAGTTCGTATGGTGTTACGTGAGTTGATCAAACGTGACAGGTTGGAATACGGAGATAATGACATGCATGTCATGTACGGCATGGTTTACAGGCCGCTATCTGAGTGTTCTCGCAGTCGTTATAAAGGACAAAACTTGCTGCTCGGAGAACACCTCTTATAAAGAGGTTTAACTGTAACCAAAATTGGTATGGGTTGTCAAGAGTGCACAATGAACATAAATTTACCAATGTATAGTTTCTCATCAGTGTTTTTTTGAATCCTATTGCAAGGCTGCATTTGTTGATTACAATTGTTTACTGTTAGCATCATATAAGACTTTGTCAGCCTTAGAAAGAGCGCAAATATGGAAGATGGCCAACCCTGATGCTGGTAACTGCATTTGTCAGGTTGCTAATGGGCTTATTGATCCTTGCATTAAAAAAGCTTTCTAAGAAAGGACCACATCGCACTCTAAAAAAAAAATAGTAAGAAACAAGTACTCAATGTAATGAATTTTCAGGGCTTTAAGTGTGATGGAATCTATATCGTTGCACTTTTTTTATAAATATCAGTAGTGTGAACTCTGGTGCTACGGTATGCAGAAGGTGCCCAATAATTGTTTCATCAGCATGGGATTCACCAGGTGGCAGCTAAAGGAGTGCGGACATGAATTTTCAGCCTTCTTTTTGTATATATATATATAAGCACTGGTGCCGAGAACCTTAAAAAGTGTATCATGGTGCCTGCGAACGCATTGTATATATTTTTGATACCGCTGCCTTAAAGAAACGCTTTGCTTTGATATTGAAGGTACAGCTTCTCTGTGAGGTGTCATCGTAGTGTAATGTCAAGGTATAGACAGCAACTCGCGACATATTAGGGGTTTATCCGGCGTCTGCTCGTGGCGCACGTAAACGAGTGATTGGTCACCCAGTGTGACCCAGACCGCGATTTCTGCGACTTGGGCTGCATGCGGGACGCAGAGTTCGCAAACTTAGTGGAACTGTGTTGACTCGTTGGGATAATTTCCACTGCAGTGGAGCTGGTTTGCTAAGGCTTTGGGGGGGGGGGGGGGGGCAAGAACTTCGAAATTGAAGTAAAATAAAGATTTACCCGTGTTGTCTGACTCTGGTATGTAGAGAGCATTAACGCTGCATACCGAGTAACCGGAAAATGTCTCTTTTACGGATGTCTCGAAATCTTGTCGGTTTTTCCTTTTAAACTTTCCTAAACTGCATTGCAGCTACCGGCACGTGTGTCGACTTTGCTGGCTTGTAGCATAAAATTTAATACTGCATTGGAAGACTCTACGACGATTGTATATGAGAATAAAGTAAATGGGGGTGGTGGTGGTGGGGGGATGGGATGACCACCACAGTAGCTCAGTGAGTAGATAATCGGGCGCTTTGTTCGATAGTAACAGGCTCAGTTTGTGCCAGTTGGTGAGTTATCATTTTGTTCACTTTACTTTTTTCACATTTATATGATAATTACTGCAGATAACATCCCCTATACTTTCTTAGGTATCATTGTCTATTCTCGTTAATATTGTGAAATTTTTTCACTATATTTCTTGGTCTGTCTCTCTATTCCCTGGTCTGTCTCTCTATTCCCGCTCGGATCTGAAAATCTACTGGCCAGTTGTCAGTCCTGTTGAATTTTGCAGAAAAGTTTGGTGGCTCCCCTTAGTGTTTGCATCTAAGAAACTTTCTGTAGGAGAATATAACGAAGGAGTTACTATTTTTGAGTTACAGACAAATATCTCTTGTAATGGATAATATTTTTTTATGTTCGTGGGATATCACTCATGCGTTTTGCATCAACTCATCAAATAGACATAGGTTTCCAAGGGCATATTTGTGCAATTGTGCACAAATGCAGTATATTACGCTCCTATGTACGTCGAAGTGACGTACAGTGAAGTGACGCGAAGTGACGTCAACACTTCGTTGAGACTGCTCATGCGCAAATGTGCTGCCACTCACTGATCGTTACCAGATCATCCGAACGAGCGTCTGCGGGAAACAGTCCCCGATATGACTTTTCGTCTTCCGGCTAAAATCAGCCGAAGACATGCTAATATACTGCACCTGATTCGCCTGGGCGTCGTCTTCACTGGTCCCTACACCCACCTTATCGGCCGTGCGGGCAGCCCGAATTGTGAGCGCTGCCAAGTGCGCGATACCTTAGCTCACACATTTTGTGACTGCTCATTATACGTGGTGCAAAGAAAAATGCTAACTGCAACGTTGGCAAGCATCGGACGAACGCCATTGAGTGAAAGCCACATGTTGTCAGCAATGAACGACCAAACAGTGTCAAAAACTGCTACAAAGGCTGTTTTAGACTTCATCAAAAGCGCTGGACTAGATACTAGACTGTAGGGTGCTATGCTAAGTGGCTACTGTATATACGCATCACCTCTTCTTGTCCTCATTATCATACTTAATCTCTCTTTCCTTCCTTTATTCCCTGTGTAGAGTAGCAAGCTAGAGCGAACTAGCTCAGACCGACCTCTCTGCCTTCTAATAAATTCTCACTCCCTCTCTCGGTGCAATTATGAAATACCGCAACCAGAGCACAGATAGTATGCTTGCCTTGTACCTATCAAAACATCTCATTGGACAAGTTGTTCAGAACATCTCTTCGTGGAATGATTGAAGGCTACTCACTCTTGCACTGCATGTGTATGCCTCGTTTTACCTATCTTCAACGTCCTGGAAGCACATCCTCGTTGGTGTTTCTTACTCCTATTGTAAAGCAAGCAGGTCAATATATTGAAATTGGAAATTAGTGTTTTTTCCTACTTGTCCTCGTTGTGGCTGCACGCTTGTGGGTTGCAAAACAATTCAAGTATCTTAGAGTAAGGTTGAATCCTTCATTGGTACATATAGCTGAATGAATTAATTAATGAAAAGGACAAAGCTTACAGGAGAGAAGAGGCACACACAATGATAGCCATTTTTGTGTCGGTGCTGTGTTTTGAGTAATTGAGTGCGCCGCTTCTCTCATTTCGAACTTCATCCTTGATACTGGTTCATTCTTCCAGTATATTGGTTTGCCAATATTTTGCTGTCAAATGTGTCCCAAGAGTGGTATGCAGTAGAGCTTGTTCTCACAGTGCAAGAACCAAACTTGGTCTCTCTGCTTCATGCAGGATTCCTTGAGAGCAGCTGCGGCCGGAGCACCGAACCGGCGCCCTCCGACATGTTCCCGGGTTTTCCGAGCTCCGGCTCATCCCAGGGCATGCCGGGATCCGCCCCGTTGAACCCCGGCGCAGCCGCCAACCCCTGGTTCCACCAGTCGGCCTTCTCGATGGCCACCGACATTCATTCCGGGGCCTCGGGGACTGCCTCTTCCTCGATGGCAGGGTCCCCTTACTGGCTTCCTCCGCACCAGTATGCGCCTACGTCCGCTGCCGACCCGCACCAGTCGCGCTACAGTGCAGGCAATGACCTGTACTCTGCGTCTACCTCTGCGGCGGCGACACCATGGTGGTTTGGGCACAACACGTCGACCGCGGGTAGCGGACTTCACTCGTCGCAGTATTTCCAGCAGCACGTGCCTCGCAGCGACCCCATGTCGAACCCTTTCCACACGCCGGTCCCTGCGACCACTTCAAAGACCCCAGGCTACCTCCAGCACGGGCTTGCGACTCAACAGCACCTACAGCAGCAGCAGCAGTCCGCTGCCCCGTCCCCCACCACTCAGCAGCATAACCTCCATCATTCATCAGTGCAGCAGCAACAGCAGCAGCAGACGTACCATCACCACTCGCCAGTCACATCTCAGCACGAGACCATGTCGACCCCTGCCGCCAGCACCTCCATTCATCCCATCATTCCGTCGAGCCAGCACCAGTCTATTGGCATCTCCAGCCATCATCAGCGCTCGCTGATGTCGTCCTCGTCGTCGCAGCAGCTGGGTTCGCCAACCTCGATGATGGGCCAGCAGCACGATGGCATGGGCGGCCAGACAAGTCGGCCCCATCAGCAGCATCAGCAACAACATCATCAACAGCAGCAACACCAACAACACCAGCAGCAGCAACACCAACAACACCAGCAGCAGCAACATCAACAGCAGCAACAGCACCACCAGCATCACCAAATTCAAAGGCCCGTGGCGCCGAGAGCACAACAGCAGCAGCAGACGCAGCAGCAGAAGGGAAGTTATGGTGGCATGACACAGCAGCATGTTCAGTCTGCACCAGCACAGCAGCGCATCAACCACCAGAGCATGATGGCACCAATATCGTCAAGCTCTCAAATGATGGCGCCGCCACAGTCGCAGCCACTCAACAGCATAGCTTCCGGAGGTCTGGACACCAACATCCAGCCGATCTTCGAACTTTACGGACACGACCCGCTTGCCTCAGTCCAGGGTGGGCAGCAGTTCCACCATCAGCTGCCGAGGTTTGATGTGCCTGCGGCGAGCTCCGCGAGCGGGCAGGGCTTCACGCAGCTGCAGTCGCAGACGACGTGGATACCCCCGGAGGCTCTGAGCGGTGCAGATGCGTCAAAGACCAAGTGGGCCAAGCCCGAGGTTGGTGCCGAGGCGGCGGCTGAGAATGATGCCAAAGAGGGTGCTGCCAAGCCTGACGCGGCGGCTGGTTCGCCCACCAAGAAAGGCAGGGGGAGGAGGAAAAAGGAGGAAAGCGCGAAGAAGAAGCAGAAACAGGACCTTCTCGCTGAAGCCAAGAAAGGGTTCCAGAGAAAAAACATCCGGTGAGTCAAATTGTCACGTTTCTTTTTTTTTTCTCCACCTGGGTCACCTTTGAGCCTAGCTGGGTGGGCTCTATTTTCAGCCATAGGAGCCGAATCAGCACGATGAGTATGCACCAACTCAGCCTGCAATATTCATAGAAAAATTGACTGCATGAGCACTGCATATTATAGTAGCAAGTTGCATGCTTTTTTTATTTTTTTTTTTACTGTGTGTGCGTTTTTATACTAATATATTGTTACGAGTAACTTATTTATTAAATTATATACGATGGACCGTGCTCGGCGAACAAGATGGCGACAGTTCATTAACAACCAGCAAGCGACGTCGTCTTTCTCTTTCATGCAGCAACGCTGTGCCGGCTGTTGTGTATCATAACCACCTGGCGGTAGAAGCACCGTCTCGTCTCGGTGCTTGAGCTACTCGGATGCGGTAGAAGGAGGAGGATAAGGCTTAGGTCGAGCTATGTGCACGTTGTTGCTCGAAGCTGACGATGGTGACGTTGGATCGGCTGGAACGATCTCGTATGTAACGTCAGTCACCTGGCGAATGACGAGGTATGGTCCAGTCTAGCGTGACAGCAGTTCTTCAGAAAGACCTACACGACGAGTGGGGGACCAGAGAAGGGCGAGGGAACCCGGTGAAAAGTGCACGCTTCGATGATGAGAATTGTAGAGCTGTCTTTGGTGCTCCTGTGAGGCCTTCAGACGACTGCGGGCGAGTTGGCGTGCGTGGTCGGCTCGCGCGATGGCTTCGCCGGCATACTCAGTGACCGAGGGCAGCAAGGTGTCAAAGGGTAAGGCGGGTTCTCAGCCGTATAGAAGATAGAATGGCGAATAGCCGGCAGTGTCGTGACGTGACGAGTTATATGCGAACGTCACAAATGGCAAATGAACGTCCCAGTCCTGGTGGTCGGCCGCTACGTATTTAGAAAGCATGTCGGTTATGGTGTGGTTGAGGCGCTCCGTAAGACCGTTCATTTGCGGATGGTACGCAGTGGCAAACGTGTGCTTGGTAGAGCAAGAGCGCAGGATTTCATCGACAGCTGATAGGAAGGTCCGGCCCCGGTCAGTGAGAAGTTGGCGTGGAGCTCCATGTACTAAAATAATATCGTATACCAGAAAGTCCGCCACATCGGTTGCGCAACTCATCGGAAGTGCTCGTGTGATAGCGTACCGTGTTGCATAGTCAGTGTCGACAGCAATCTCTTTGTTGCCTGAGCTGGAGATCGGAAATGGGCCATGCAGGTCGAGGCCAACTCAAAAAAAAAGGTTCAGTGGGAATGTCGATTGGCTGAAGGAATCCAGCTGGTAGGGAGGATGGCTTTTTGCGGTGCTGGCAGGGCTCACAAGCGGCGACGTAGCGTTGAACAAAACGGGCAAGACCACGCCAAAAGAAACGACGAAGCACATGGTCGTATGTGCGAGGCATGCCCAAGTGGCCCGTCAAAGGAGCGTCATGAAGTTGTTTGAGGACAGTCGCACGAAGATGTGCTGGTATAACAGGGAGTAAGTCCTGGCCATATGGATCGAGGTTACGGCGATACAGGATCCCGTCTTTGACCAGGAACATTTGTAGAGATGCGCGTCGCGATGAATTGACTCAAGCTTGTCAATGATGGTTCACAGGGAAGCATCCCGGCGTTTTTCGTGGCCAAGGTTGAGTAGCTGCGTCACAGACAGAAGGTCTGGAAAGATGTCAGTATGGGCAGCTTCTTCTACAGGGTAGCGTGATAAATAATTCGCATCCTGATGCAACCGCCCTGTTTTGTACGTTACGGCGAACATGTATTCTTGTAAACGTAGGGACCAACGAGCGAGGCGTCCTGTGGGATCCTTGAGTGAGGCCAGCCACCAGAGCGCGTGGTGATCGGTGACTACTCGGAATGGACGCCCGTATAAGTATGGGCAAAACTTGGCGACTGCCCACACAAGAGCGAAACACTCGCGCTCCGTGATTGAATAGTTGCGCTCGGCGGTAGATAGCAGTCGGCTTGTATATGCTATAATACCCGTGCCACACGGCCGAGAAAATTGCATTTACCTCCTAATGCCTTCAGATTGAAGGTCATTCGCGTGTTGCCACACGGATGAACGAAATGGCATTCGCCCAAATGCCATTCGTCACCTTATGTCATCGCCAGAACTCATTCGACTGAGAAATGAGTACTCTCGACGGCACAGCTGATGAAATAATTGTATGAAACGACATTTGATTCGACTGGTAGGAAACTTTATGCGTATTTTATTTACACTAATCACTTAAACAACTGCTCAAAAACTTCTCTTCGGCAGGTAGGCGCTGTAAAATAAATGAGCCAGGCACCATTTTCTTTTTACGCTGCGGATCTGACTAGCTTTGGCTTAAGTTGCTACACGGCCGGTTGCAATGTCTTGAAACAAAGTAACGAACGAAATCGAACGGCAGCGTAATATGCTTACTTATACCCTTAATTATTATCGGATGTGTATGAAGCTTGTAAATGCTTGTTTATTTTTCTATTGCTACTCACCCGATGCTCACGAGGAAGGTGCTGTGGTCAACATCAAGTTAAATGTCATTCGCTTTGGACGTGTAGCAGCGCCGCCGAAAAAAATGTCATTCGGGAACTGAATGCCTTCGCTACCGAATGTCATTTTGTATGCCCGCGTTGGTGTTGCAATAGCATTGCTTCTATGCCGTGCCCACTAGTTCAGTGCGAACCTCGGTTGAAGCGGATGGATCGAAATGAGCTAAAATTAGCAGTGTTGTAAGGAGGGTCGTGAGCTGGGAAAAAGATGAGGCTTGATCAGCGCCCCAGAAAAACGGAGTGTCCTTCTTTAGGAAGTTTGTAAGTGGGCGTGCAATGATCGCGAAGTCTTTAACAAAGCGTTGAAAATAGGAGCACAAGCCCACAAAGCTGCGAACGTCCTTTGTTGACTTCGGAACAGGAAAGTCCGTGACTGCGCGAATTTTCTCGGGATCCGGGCGAACTCCTGCGGCATCGACAAGGTGGCCAAGTGCGGTTATTTGACGATGAGCGAAGTGGCAGTTCGAAGAGTTCAATTGAAGTCCGGCTCGACGAAAAACTTCAAGAATCGCCGATAAACGATCGAGACGGGAGTCGAATGTGGGCGAGAAAACGATAACGTCGTCTAAATAACATAAGCAGGTGGACCACTTAAACCCTTGGAGCAATGAGTCCATCATTCTTTCGAATGTGGCCGGCGCATTACAGAGACCGAAGGGCATAACTTTGAAGTGATAAAGACTGTCAGGAGTGAAGAATGCGGTCTTCTCAATGTCTACAAGTTATCTTGGCTTAAAGTTTTTGGTGTACTTACTTCCTTAGTATTATAAATGTGATTTTGAGAATGTGTCCCAAATAAACTTTGGGTTTCTTTAATTGCTCAAGGGAGCAAATGTGGCGCTGAAGTAAAACAGCTAGTTCAGGTTGGTGCATCTTCTAAGGAAGGTTTGACAGCGTTGACGATCCAGTAAAAACTAAAAGTGAGTACGACGAGGACAGAAAAAAGATTTGAGTTGCACGAGCGATCTCGCTTCTCTGTTCTCATCCCATGTGCTTTTAGTTTCGTTCATGTCTCAAGATGCCAAAGCAGTCGCCTCAGTGATGACACGGAACAGTGTGATATAAAGAGACGTGCCAAAGGGCTTTGTTTATTTTTGTCTATTTGACGTTATTACTGTTAATTTCTTTTTGATGCATACAGTCGAACCCTTTTATAAGAGGCACTGATGTAATAGACAAATGGGTGTGAGAGACACCAGTGGACATACATTAAAATAGTGGTTGATCAGAAAATGCGTATGTGATACCCTGCGTATTAGAGACACGAAATAATATAAGAGACAAGAATCGCTCCTCTGAGCATGTCTCTTATAAAGGGGTTCAACTGTATATGGCCCTGCCATTGCATCAGGGCTGTGGTGGATGATTGACTGACCTTGTCTCGCGCATGCAGTGACATCAAAAATGAGTCGGACCTGGACGAGGTGACACTGAACGCCCAGAAGGAGGAGCAGGAGCGCATGAAGCGTCTCCAGGAGGCTCGGCTCCGAGCGCTCCAGAGCCAGGGCATAGCGACGGGCCCCGCCCCACCCTCTGCGATAGCCCCGATCGCCCTGGAAAGCAGCAGCAGTAGCAGTGATGACAGCTCGTCGGAGTCCGAGGATGAAGCGTTGCCAACTGTTGTACCACGGAGAACAGGTGAATGTACTGCCTCACAGTTTTGGGGGCTTTTGCTTGCAGCCAGTTACACGTGGTCTAGAGAGAGGGCATAAACATTTCAGCACTTTCTAGAAGGGCTCCTAAGCCACCCATTAGTACAAATATAGCTGTGATATTGCAATGTTATATGAGTGCAAGAAATACATGTCCATTGAAATCTTTAGAAATGGTGCCGTAATAGCTGAGTTACGTTTGTTTGATGTGGCTTGATGTGAAATGTGGCTCTCACTCATATCGCCGTTTCCTTCGCTATGCACATCCTGTGACAATAGTGGTAATGGGTGTGTATGAGTGTGGAGTTTGCTGCAGCGGGACACGACGGCCGCCTGTGTGTAATGTGTCAACATTGTTATTAAAATCGTAGGCTCTTGCGTTACATATGGTTCAGATATTTTTAATTTGTGGGAAGTTGAACGATTCATGCCTTTGCTAGAAAGTTACGCACGAATCTCTTTCTCTCTGTTCTTGTGTAAGGGTCATTCGCACAATGAGATTCTTGGCTATATTTTAAACCGTTGAAATGTTAATAGGCTCTTCCATCCCATTACGTGGGTGCGAAATTAATGGTAATGTTTTGCCACTTGTCTTAGACAACTGTAACAACAGGGAAGTCTTTTGGCACTAGAGCTCAGAGCGGGACAATTGTGGTTCTGTAACTGAATGGCTATAAATGAATAGACAGCTTTTTTTTATCATTATCTCGTTACAGAAGTATAAACGTGTGGCTGCCCCGCCGCGGTGGTCTAGTGGCTAAGGTACTCGGCTGCTGACCCGCAGGTCGCGGCATCGAATCTCAGCTGCGCCGGCGGCATTTCCGATGGAGGCGGAAATGCTGTAGGCCCGTGTGCTTAGATTTGGGTGCACATTAAAGAACCCCAGGGGGTTGAAATTTCGGGAGTCCTCCACTATGGCATCTCTGATAATCATATGCTGGTTTGGGACGTTAAACCCCGCATATCAATGAATCAATTAAACATGTGTGGCTGGGATGCTGGTGCAAAGCTGAATTGGGTGAATGCAGCTGTGATTGAGGCAACTTTGAGCATGGCTATTTGACTGCTGGTGTAAATACTTAACTGCAACAAAGGCACAAAGTGTTGCCTTTTGAAATATTTTGTTCTGGCAAGAGCACTCAGCGAGCAAAAAGGAAAACTTGCTTGCAATTGTAGTTAGGCATAGAATCACATTGCTATCGTTGCACATCAGTATCGTCCCACGTCTGGTAGAGTCGCACGTCACTATTGTCACATTTATTTTGGTAACACAGTACTGTTATGAATTTAAATGTACTGACCTTCACCATGCACGACAGAGCATTGGAATGACTCTGTTCTAACTCCAGGTGGAGACGTGATAGACATCTCGTCATCCGATGAAGCCAAGATACCCGAGGAGGAGGACGATGACGTCGTGATGGTGGTGAGTGACGGAGACGACGCCGATGACGAAAAGGGCGACGATCTTAACGACGGGGCTCACATCAATGATGCGGTCAACCAACCAGATTCTATGGGTCGGGTCCTGGTCAATGTAGGGCATCCACCTGAAGACTCTGACGTCTTCTTAGCGCCGCAGTTGGCGCCCATTGTCAAGCCTCATCAGGTATGTTGTTTGTGTGTTTAATTTGTTTAATTAATCTCGTCAAATATGTTTGCTTGCTCTTATGTCGATATATTGAGGGATTAACTTGAATATATATCACCCATTGAACTAAGTAAATTAAGAATAGCCTCGCAATAGATGTAGTGTTAGAAATATACCCTTACTGCAAATTTTTGGGTATAACAACCTCCCTGTCCTTCCTCTTTCAATTCTCCTCCTTTGGGTATAACAAACTTATTTTTGTGTAAAGTGCAGCTTCGTTATAATGAAGTCTGATGGTTCAAATCCAACAGCATGAGATTGAATCCCGGCTGCGGTGGCTGCATTTCGATAAATGCTGGAAGCCCGCGTACCATGTGATGTGACTACACGTTGCATAATATGTTCTGGAGCCCTCCACTATGGTATATGTCACGAAAATTTCAGTTTTGGATTGTGAAACTTTAGCAATTTAGTAAATTCATCAGTAAAGTGCACCAGTGAGGTGAAGCACACTGTTCCTACAACTGTTTTCTCAATCTTTGTTTCTTTTTTTTTTCGTTGCCCTTTTAGGTGTTTTTATCAATTGCATAGGCACATAATGTGCATCATGTGTGTGTTTATGTGAGGCAAAGTATGAAAGACCCATGTAGTTATGCTGAGGTGTGTGGTCAGCAACACCGAGGGATGTAAATAATCTGGAATATGAGCGCAAATCAGTGCGATCGACTGGAGGGGACAGAAGAGAGGACACAGAGGGCTGAGCTTCCAACAATTTCTGACAACATTTGTGACAAATCCAACATCGATTTGAAAAATATATAGACTCTCAATAATGAAAAAAAAAAAGGACTTGCAAAATATGTTGCAAAAAACTTGATATAAAAAAGCCTTGCTCTAGTAATGCAAGGCTGGACTAACAAGTAGAGTTTCTGGCCAAACCAGGTTGTTTGCATGGTATTAATTAGTATTTTATTCATTAGCAAGTAGTCTTTTCTTTATTAGTTATCATAAGTATGTGTTGTTAGCACGACTTTTTGTCGGTAGCACCGGTTAGCTCTCATAATCATTTCGTATCAACGCGCCCAATCTCACAGAGTTGCCCATTAAAGTGCACCTTGTAATCGTATTCTGGCTCAGATTCGCAAAGCCCCAGAATATTTTTTTTTATGATTACAATACGTGGGGCTCAGTCATGTCCTTTTCGCACCATCATGTCCCATATGGCGCAAAACAGATTGGTGGCATTCGGTTCCTGTTCGACAACGTGGTGGAAAGCGTGAGCCGCTTCAACACGTCGAGCGGCTTTGGCTGCATCCTGGCTCACAGCATGGGCCTGGGCAAGACCATTCAGGTGATCTCCTTCGTGGACGTCCTGCTGCGGCACACGGCTGCACGCAAGGTCCTTTGCATCACCCCCATCAACACAATCCAGGTGATTAGGGGGCAAGCCATTTATTTGTCTCTAGTGAAAGCATAGGCTCTGTCCTCTGCTCTTCTTAACGTTACCTAAAGGGACTGTCACTTTTCTGCTTCTTCTGTTTGTTTTCTTATGGCATTTTATTTGGATTCATTTTTTTTTTTTTTTGGCTGATGATGAGTCAGAGTCGTTAGATTGTGAGTTGTGGAGCAAGAGATTAGCTATTCCTGAATCGGATCTGGAACACTTGAACAGTGCCAAGCTTAAACACTTGCTGAGAAAGATTTGTGCGTGTGTTTCACTTCTCAGAATCTTGTATCTTTGGCTAGCTGTCGAACTTTTGTATTCCAACATTTTATTTTCAAATGGAGGGAATATAAGGTAGCGGTGGTGCCACTACTGGTAAATGCGAGCAGCTCTGAATTATGGCATGATGCTTACATTCAAACGTTTTTCATGGTTGTGGACTCACAGGGAACATATTTCAGTGCCTGTTACTTCCAGTTATTTTCTTCACTGAGTCGAGAATAGAACCTGTCAACCCTAATGGGCAACCAAGAATATCTTGCACTGCAAAGGAAACCTGGTGATGGTGTTGAATTTAGTGGGAGGGGAGGTGCAGTATTTTTTGTTAGACTACAACCAGAAACATTACAAAAAAGTTGCAGTTAGCTGTCCTAATAGCGAAATCGGAGAAATGACTTTGCTTTTACCGCTTGCTGGTTCCATGAAAGCTGTGTCAGTGCGAGATGCGTTGCTCTGTGATGCAGAACTGGCTCGCGGAATTCGACAAGTGGGTGCCGGCGCCCGAGGCTATTCCGCAGAACCTTGTGGATTCGGGCCAAGTGAGGCCCCGCTCGTACCACGTCTACCTCCTCAACGACATATACCGCTCCACTCCAGCCAGGGCAGAGTTGATCTGTAAGTATGATAGCCAATGCTTGTGACTAACTACTTAGGGCATTGCCTCACGTTATGACCACAACATGCTCCTTTATTAACTTTTTGAGTCTTCAGAGGTACTTCGTTACGTTGTGTTCGTGGTCATTTTATATTGGCGCATGCGTGACAGATTTGCCGTCATATGCTTAAGGCAAAATATTCTCCACAAAGTTTTTATTGGACGACAAGCGAGCTATCATTCAGGTTTGTTATGCATTAACCTGCCTGGTACGGTATCACCAATATGAAACAGGGAGAGAGTGGGAACGGACTGGTATCTGGAACCAAATTTGGTACCACCAACTTGGTAGTTCACTCATGATGATGCTCGGGTGCCTAGTTTGTAGCGGGTACTCGGTACCATTTTTGTTGTTGGTGCTTGGTGTCATGCCTGGGTAATGCGTTTGTGCTTGGAAATTGGTACCAATTCTTCTATTGATGCTTAGTACCACTTTCATGTTGTACCACTTTCACTCATGTTGTACCACTTTCACTCATGTTGTACCACTTTCCACAAGCGCAGGACTGGGTTGACTAGCGGAGCATGGAAGAGGCCTTTGCCCTGTAATAGGTGTAATCAGACTGATGATGATGATGATGATGACCACTTTTACGAGAAAAAGCAGTAGCTAGCAACTCGCTTATTCACTGCCTAGTAAGTACTGTGCTTAGAAATGTACCACCTCAGCACCAAACTTTTAATTGGTCACCATTTTGATTTGTGGGGTTTAACGTCCCAAAACCACCATATGATTATGAGAGACGCCGTAGTGGAGGGCTCCGGAAATTTTGACCACCTGGGGTTCTTTAACGTGCACCCAAATCTGAGCACACGGGCCTACAACATTTCCGCCTCCATCGGAAATGATTGGTCACCATTTTGTAGTTGGTACTTGGTGCCATCTGGGTACTAAGTCTGTGCTTTGCACTTGGTACTAATTTTATCAGCCGATGCTTGGTACCACTTTCACGAGGGAGAAAGTTGTGGCAATTGACTTTCTTATTCGCTCCAAGTATCCACTGCACAGAAACATGTTCTCGCCTTAGTATCAATCTTGAAGTTATTTGGTGCTTGGTACTAATTTCATCACAGGGAAAGCAGTGGCTTATGACTTCTTATTTATTGCTAAGTAAACATTGTACAACCCTAGTACCAATTCCTTGGTTCTAGCTTGCATGCTTGTACTGTAATTTTCATTTATCATCGCATGAACGAACATGCTCATGGCGCTCGGCTTGTTGCAGTGGACTGGCACAAGAAAGGCGGTGTCCTGCTGATGGGCTATGAGATGTACCGGATGTTGGCGCTCAAGAAGGTAGTGCGTCCCAGCAAGCGCCGGAGAAGTCCTAAAAAGGAGGACCTCTCGGCGCCGGAGGACGAATCTCGTCACTCGCAGCTCCTGGATGGTATGTTCAGCATTTCCCTTATTCAGGTGGTGCGGCTGAATGCGCTCAATGACATAATAAATCATTAGCTATAGACTATTTTACCTAATACATGGCGGCGACGCCATATCGGGCTCTTGAGGTGATGTTTTCTTGCTTTTGTACATCGCAGCGTGAATTAATATAATAAGGCCGTGAAACATCGCATGCATCAAGTCAAAACCGTTCTCATGCGTTTGCGTCTGCCGTTACACTGTTCGTTTAGTTGTTTTTGATGCAAACCACAAAGGTTAAGCACTGTTACGACCAGGGCTTGCAGGCACCGGAGGTCCGGGATGAAGATGTCGAGGCAGGAGAAAGTTGACTTATTAGACAGTCCCCCAAGATGAAAGACTGGTTATAATGCGGTTGCCGGAAATTGTTTGACAAACGTGGTAGCAAATAGCGCTGTGTGCGCCGCTGGGGAGCAAATGACGAGGTCGTTACGGAGGAGGAGGAGGCAGACACGGAGTGAACAAACGAAGGGCGGAGAAAAGAAAAAGAAAATGAAAAAAAAAAAAAAACGCGGGACCCTGCGCGGGCTCATCGAGTAAGGGAGGAGGATGGTTGCCTCGGTGACCGATAAGCATTTGCGCCAGTGTTGACGCGGCTGCAGCGTACTACGTCGCTAGCGTGACTCCGGCCGCGCGCCGCTCAAGGTGGCACGTACGGGGCATGTGCTTAACAGTTTTCTGTCGGGGTAGACGTCATCGTTATCACGCTTGCAACAAATATCGCGTTTGCTTCCTCGTCCGTAAATTGAAAACTTTTACGGTTTTATGACACGAGCTTTCACTTTTGCTGCCAGTGTGCTGTCGTACCTAAGCTTGGTGAGTTGTTGACCGTCTTTGCTGATCTCCCGGCCGCGAACGCGAGCTACGTATCACGCATGCAGTTGTTGGTTCATTGTTAGTGCGATCTTTTTTTCGCCGAATACTCATGTTTTGGACAAGCTTTCCACAACCAAACGGCAAGCTAGGCCTAATCTGTGTGTGTTGCGCTTCGATCGGTAGCGGTCGCATGAATCAAAGTTGCAGTTTTGTACCGAATCAACGAAACTCTTTGCAGTGGCCGCACGTGACGGGGAGAGATACAAATCGTTAAATGAAAACGAGGGCGGCTCGTGTAGCGCCCAAATAGTGGTTCACAATTCGATTGGGATGTCTTAAATGGGGTGCGTGCCCGTGAAATCAAATGGTTGGCGTCTTTTAACGCGTGAAATTCTGGACGTGATTCCACATAGTTTCTGTGTAATGCGTATAATCAAGACGGTCTTTGGACGTTCAATTCTTTTAACATTGTGGGGTCTCGGCATGGCAAGCGCCCCAGGCTTTTGGAGTGAATGGACACAGCAGACACGGTCGGAACAAACCAACCAATAAACACATTTATTTAGCTACTTTTAGAACTACGATATCATCAGCCGAATCATTTAACATCACTCGTGATCAACACGCTAGGACATCCTTACACAATACTCAGTACGTAGCAACATAACAAACACAAGAGCACACATAAGGCGGCATCGCCAACACTTGACTCAATGCGCGAGCCCCCACCCCCCACCCCCGGCAGATGGACCGCGGTGACCGGAGACTCGCCGCAGACACGCATCGCATGTTTGATTCTCGGACACGCGAAGCTGCATGTTCAACGCGTTTTGCACAAGTGCTGCCCTTGAAGAAGGTTGTTTTGGTTATAGTGTGAATATTGGGGACTCCTGCGACTTACGTTATAAGCGGTCTATACTGTAGCAAAGAAGCAGTTGGCAATTCACGATTTCTATAAAAGTTCTAATCAGCAGTAAATGGCGAGTAAACTTGTAGACCTTACACCCCTGCTTTGTAAAAGTTTATTGGATGCAGTTAAGGCTTAAAAATACTTCAAAAATGTTTAAATGTGATAATATCAATGTGTCAGATTGCCCATAGTCATATATATGAGAACTTCTTGATAATTCAAACAAAATTCAAAGGTTTCTTTGAGTTTGAATTAACGAGAGTCGACTCTAGTCTGTAACAAAGCAACCGAAAAAAATAATGTCCTCAAAGATGCAGTTTTGCAAATGTGTTGTTATAATGAAGAAGAATAATGTTATAATGAAGTTTTGCAAATGTGTTGTTATTATATAAGAGTAATTTTAGTATCAGATGTGACTTCTTTATAGAGAGTATTTAGTGTATATAAGCTAGGCCTGTGCAGATATCACTCTCTTGTTTCAAGTTGAAGTGTATGGTAATTAGCATCAAATATAAGTTATAAGTGGTAAAATGTGTGACATTTCAAATGTTGTCATGCTTAGCCTTTACAAACCTGCACAAAGTACCTGTAAACTTTGATTAGAAATAATGTGCAGGTAATAAGCTCACATAATCATAAAGCAGGTCTTCACAACAGTGCAGATTTTTTTCTGCATAACTGTTTTCACAGCATATCACCAACATACTGCTGTGAAGCAACCTTTTTAGTTTAGTTATGTGCAGTAATGTATGTCCGTCCGTTCGTACTCAATTTTTTGAATTGTCGGGAATTGAAAGTCCATGCGGAGGCTAATTTGAATGATGTAACAGTTGTTTGAATATCCGAACTTCTCGAAACATTTGCACATGCCTACTCAATTTGTGGAGTTGCCACAATGAGTAGTATTGCGATGTGCATAATGCTGTGAATCTGTAGGAGATAGCTGGTGGTTTTTGACATTTTGTTTTTCTTCCCATTGTTACCAGACATCTACCAGGCCATTGTGAACCCGGGCCCCGATCTCGTCATCTGCGACGAAGGGCATCGCATCAAGAACTGCAATGCAAGCACTTCCACTGCACTCAAGAGCATACGAACTAAGTGAGTGGACAATCAAGTCGTTGCTTGCAGGCTTGAATGCCTTCTCGTGCCATAGTTTATGCATAATCATTTCAGGAGTTTGTTTGGAAAGGACACTTTATGATTATTGGGCAATGTGTACTGCATAAGCCTTTGCGCACTTTAGACGTATCTGCTTTAGTGATTGCCATCTTATGCAGTGTTACAGTATATCCCGGATAACTCAGACTCGAAGGGGATCACGAAATAGTTCAATATGTTGATAATTGGAAATACCGAATATGTAAATTGAAGGCCTGAATTAAAGCATTCCAGGCCTCAAAACAGTTTTTGGAAATCGCAACAAGCGATAATGCAAACATTCGCTCACAGAATAATTTAAAAAAAAAGGTGTCAACTACTTCTGCAAGTTAGCGCACTTTATTTCGCAGGGAAATTGTTCGTTAACTTGTCTGGCTTGTTGCGCACCATCATGTTCCAGTCATCCTCGTTATCATTGAAGCTTTCCACCTAAGCGAATTCAGCTCCTTCAGCCACCGTGGCATTGAACAACTCAGAACGCTGATGCACGGTCAAAGGTTGGTTAGCAGCAAAGGTTCTGGCGTCTTCATAATCATACAGGCACGCTTCCTCTGCACGGGCAACGTCAGTCAAGATCTGTTCATTGGTACAGTCAGAAACGGCTAATACGTCATCTGCACCGAGGTCGCTTGCTGTCCGAGATGCTGCCTTGAAACTCTAATAAGTCGGGAAATTCACTGAGGTGCCGTACGCTCTAGTCGGCAGTCATGACGTACCCGAAGTTGTCACCTGGCACCTTAGTCGCCAGGAAATGGTTTACGACGGTGCTTTACTTAACGTCGCTCCAAACTTCAGTCATAATTTTTATGGCTAAGAGCGAGTCAATGTTTAGTACAATTCCCGATCGATGGTTAATCAGGAACGAAGCAAGAAATTCACATGTCCGCTACCTGCAAAAGACAACGCTGCCCACAAACAACAATGAGCAAGCTGCCACTGTCGACATGTTGGCAATATTGACATCACTTGTAGCTTTGTAGCTGGCAGCCGCTGCTCTCAGCTGCTCTGGCACGAAAAGCTAGGAAAACCGTAGCCTCCAATATATGCGTTCTAAAAACCGAAAACACATAAAATATATCATGAGGTTGCAGATCTCGAAGGCCATGCTTTTCGGGCCCGTATGTCACTGTGCTCCAACAAACGAGAAAGGGAACGCAAACTTTAGAACGAGATTGCTGAGTCACTCCACATTCTTATTTTGGTGCCCTCGGCAATCGGTATTTCTGCAAAACACTATGCCTGCGCGCATTAGAACCTGTAGATTGTGATGAACCAGATGAATGCGATGGAATAAGCCGCCTTTCTGTCACCTGCATGCTTAGAGAGATTGGAACTTGTTAGAACACAACCAAATAATGACCAATATTCGCTAGGAAAAATGCACTTTCTGGACTTCGGCGCGGCGCAGCGTTTGATATAGCGGATGCTCCGCTGTGCGGGAGTTCGATATATGTGTGCACCAGTCCCATACTTTTGCGTGGGAAATTCAAAGGGATTTCTTAACTGTTTGATATAGTCAATAATTCAATATATCTGAGTTTGATATGTGCAGAATCGACTGTACTAAGATTAAAGCTTTCAATGAATGAATTGGTATAGAATGCTAACGGGCTTGATTTTGTGCAAGTGTTGTTGCAAGTGAGAAAGTTCAAAATGGTAAACGCATGAGGTAAAGGTTTGTTGGGAAAAGTTCTATTAACCTGCTTCTACAAGATTTGAAGGAAGCTGTCCAGAATGACAATGCTAACAACACAAAATGAGCAATTTTTGTCGATCGCTGATAGTTGCGCTGATCCATCTGCACTACCGTAACTATATACTCACAGACAACTTTTCCTGGCAATGAAGGGAAGGTATCGATGCCGAACTGGGCATGTGCAACTGCTGAAGAATATAGTTCCACAATTGCGTCCGTGTTTTCCACGTGGAAATCATAAAAAACATTATTTTATTTTTGGTGGGATGGTGTTTATAATGAGACACTCCAGACACTGATGACATATTTATAATTCTTTTACTTCACGTGTTGCCATTTCGCATTCTTGCACTTGTGAAAACACTGCTCGTTTTACGTACACCTCACTGTCAAAATGTCATTTTTTTCTTTGGGTGAGCGCTCTTCGCCATCCATCTATTACGACGACTCGTCAAAGAAGACGAATTTCACTCACGAATGGCTGTAAATGCAGCATTATTATTTGAACACGGTCGTCATTCGAAGCACGAGCCGAACCGGTCTACTAGGCGGAGGATTACATGTGCAGTAGCTCTGCCCCCGTAGCTGTCCTGTCATTGCCAAGAAAAGTTGTCCGCGAGCATAGTGCCTTCCGGCAAACTTCTCATCGTGCGATGGTAATGTATTTGACATAGCCGATGTCTGCGATCACGTTGCAGACACGCGCTCAAGTTGGATGCTTGGCTGACGCATGTTTTGCTCTCCTCGACGCAGGCGGCGCATCGTGCTGACGGGCTACCCGCTGCAGAACAACCTGCTAGAGTATTGGTGCATGGTGGACTTTGTGCGGCCCTCGTACCTGGGCACGCGCTCCGAGTTCTGCAACATGTTTGAGCGGCCCATCCAGAACGGACAGTGCCTGGACAGCACGCCCAAGGACCGGCAGCTCATGCGCTTCCGTGCGCACGTCCTGCACAGCCTGCTCCAGGGATTTGTACAGAGGTACCCTCCGGGCTTTGTTGTGGTCGTAGGGTTTCATAGCACACTTGAGGGAAGTTTGTAAAATTGCACTCACACTGAAAATCAAGTTAGAATGAAAGCATGAATACAAACAGAATGCCACAGTATCAAAGACATGGCAATTCTCCTTTCTTTCTTCATTTTTTTTCTTTACTTAAAGTCTCTGAATCCAAAAGCGCTGCATTTCTACCCTTTTACATAGACATGCTAGTGTATTCACAACATGACAAAAACTTTGGGCATGGCATCACGCTATGAATTTGTTAACATTAACTGCAAATAAGCCGCTCATATGCATGTCCCAGACCCTTCTGGGAATAGTAATTACAGCATTTAGCAATAAACTTTTTGTTGTACTGATTTCAAACGGTATTCTTTTCTGCATAACGTCTCGTGCGTATTGTGCGTAGCATAATCGCAGGGTGGTGTTTGAGCATTTTCGACTCCTCGATTATCTTTCATTTCTCTCTAATTCTGTGAGTAATAACTATTAGATGTGTACGCTGCGTAAAACTGGATCATTATTCGGAAGTTTTGAATGTTCACGCATTTGCTGTTCTTAATACTGCTTCAAGAACACTCGCAAGTGATCACTCGATTCTTGGATCTGCAGCTACTTGCTTAGGTAGGGATCCATTGATGGTTTCTTTGCGATTGCTTACCCGTTTTTTCGTTTTTCTCTCGTTCTTGAAATTTTCGTTTTTTTGTTGTTGTTGTCTTATGAATTATATGTGCACAGCTATCAAAGCTTACAGTCATTCGTAGCCATTTTTGAAGTGAGTGATTCGAGACAAATTTCCTCTGCAGGCGAGGCCATGCGGTGCTCCGGGATGCCCTGCCCCGAAAGGAGGAGCACGTGCTGCTTATTCGGATGACGCCCATCCAGCGGACGCTGTACCGGGAGTTTGTCAAGGAGTTTCTTCACAACTACAGGGTCACAAACCCCCTCAAGTTCTTTGCAGTCTGCTGCAAGGTCAGGGTCATTCTTTCTCGGAACTGAATGATACGTGTCGTGGGCGTTCGATCCTAAAACGTGCTTCGAGCTGAAATTGACTGGAATTAATGGGCGAGGTAAAAGAGCACTGGCTTCACATAGCACTTATGTGCTAGGTGAAGACGTCAACTTTCTCACCGAGGCGCAGCCAAGATTGTTTATCAAAGCTTGTCAACCTGCCTAGCAGGGGGGATGTCTGGGAAGTTGTTAACCCCCTATCAAGTGCTGTCCTAATGCGATCATTGATAGAAATATGCACGTGTTTTTCATCAGTAATTATGTAAAAAAGAGAACCTTTGTTGGATTTTTGTTCTTAGTGCGACATTATCAAGGCTCTCAATGACCTTGAAGCATGAGCGAACAGAACAAAAGACCTTGACCATTTTTTGGTGTTCACTTTCTCTCACCTCTGTCTTGATCTTGTCAAATGCTCTCCTATTCTCTATTAATGCCTATTCTCTTTCTGCAGTGCTCTCAAAAAGTTTGGTTCAGCCTGATCTTTCAGTTTTTCTACCGTAACAGTCATACCTGTCGCGGTCAATGTTGATACAGAATTTGTACAGATCCTTGAAATCCTTAAAAACCCTTGAATTTCAAAAGTGCATTTTCAAGGCCATTGAAAGTCCTGTAATTTTTTGCCATCCTTGAAAGTCCTTGAATTTCCTGAGCAGTGCACTCTAATACCGACATCGCGACTTCCTAAATATGGTACATCGGTGTGTGAACCTGTCAAACTCCTCATGAGGTATTAACGCGGCATGGTTGCACATGGTCCCATTTTGCCAAAGTGCATGTGAAAAAAAGGTAGTTTCTGGCAAGGGTAAAGCAATGAATGTGACAGCAAGAAATTAGAATGTCATACGAAGAAGGTCAAGCAACCCCATACATGCGACGCACCCATACATGCGAGGCACGAAAAGCAAACGCACAGGACGAGTGCTGACGAACGACTGTCGTAGCTCGACACTGGAAGCGTGCTGCTTAAACAAACCAAAAACGGTCCAGAAAAAAACACACGTATATCCACAGGATGAGTGTAAATTAACCACTGTACCAGTTGTTACTTCTTAGTTGTTGAGCAATGTGTTAAGAGTGTCAACTGTGCACAAGCTGACATTCTTGATGGTATGATGCCATCAAATTTTAAGGGTATAGCATGCACCATCTGTGTTTAACAATATATCTAAGTCACTTCCCAAGTGTACCTAAATGATCCTTCTCCTAAACGAGACCTATCGCGAGCACGTCCAACACTTACCTAGCTCTACAGGAAGGGCGAAAAAAGTTCTAGTGATGTCACACAAGATCTGTAGTCAGCTGAATGACCTCCGGACTTCCGCCCCGTACATACTGGCAAAGCATCACGGCTGCTTCAGGTAGCGACAAGTTTGTTTTGCAAGTGCTTGTGTCGTACATGTGTGCGAGAGCTGACAATACTCAGCATGAAATGCGCAAAGCTTTGTGATCATGTGACTAAGTCAGCTACACTGCTATGTAGCTGCACAACTCGATCTCCACAGACAGGAACTGAAAATTGTCCATACCAAAAAGGCGACAAATTATATAGAGAATAAATGAATGTTGGTGCGTGTATTGTGCTTATTGGAGCTATAATTGAAGCTTGCAACAAAGAGCGTGCAAGCCACAAATATCGTGGCACGACCCCTGACTACACACATGCGCGTTGAAGCCCATCAGTGCGTAACCTTTCGACTTGACATCGTGCCCTGTCCAATGGAGAGGGTGTGAGAAGTTATAAAGACTTCGCTCTTTTTTTATAAATGCTATATCCATATATTATAAGTGCAATAAAATTGGTAATTTATGGAAGTTTTAGAGTTAAAAATTCAAACTTAGCATGCTGATTTGAGTCCTTGAAAAACTTGCAACAAGTCCTTGAATATCCTTGAATTTTCGCTTTTTGAGCCTGTACGAACGCTGTGATATCACAAGCCTGAATTGTGAGATGTGCCCCTTAATCTTTATAATGAAGGAAAAGGAATTGATTAAGAACTTGTTTTCTTTGTTATGTACGACCTGACAAAACCAGCAGACAATGAAGCTCGGGAATATATTTGTAGTCCTTAAAGGGTCCATGACCCCAATTTTCGATGACCTGTATTACATGGGTTAATCCTTGTGCGTACATCAAACAAGCTGGTGAAATTTCAGCACATTTGGTCGAGCACCTAATTTATAATTGAATATTTTATAAACATGTGGGCGTCCTTAGAGTCAGGCTGCACTGTTACACTCGTGAGCCGCGACGTAACGAGTGACTAGCTGTGCAAGTGCTGCATTGTAGCGAACGATACTGTTTTGTGGTCAGCCGCGCATGAAATCGAGATAGCTTGGTCTTTTTCAGCTTGGCACTGAAATTGAACGATTTTCAGCGGCTGAAACTTTCTTGGAGGTTGACGCTCCTTCCAGCTCATGACGTCACACCCGCCATAGCGAAAATGGCAGTCGCCGGCGCTGGGCAGAGCTTATGGCCGGCAAATTCTATGACTTGTCTTGCGCTGAAACATGCCTTTACTGCGCTCCTTTCATATCTTTGTAGGTCTGTCCTCTACTTCTAGTCAGTTTTCTAGAAACTTCTAGTCTGTGCTGAAAACTAGGAATAGTTAGGCGAACGCGTCATGCCCCCGTTGACTGAATGTGGTAATTATGGTGTGAATGTAAAGAAATTGGAGTGGATGAAAGGACGACTTGCCTCTGGTAGATACCGAACCTACGACTTTTGGATAATGCATGCGATACTCTACAACTTGAGCTACCTTGGTAATCACCCTTCAGTCAACTTTATTGGGTATTTCCCTGCATGTAAGTCTGGGAGTGTTGGGCAGCATTGCTCGTAGCCTTGACGGCGAGCGTGGAAGGCTTTTTTTTGAGTGCATAGCACTTCAAGGGACCCAGCAATACAGAAACAAAACGAGGCTAATGCTCAAAACCAGTACAAAATAAGCTGGAAAGGACTAAAGTAATTTAACCTATAAAAATAGCCAAGGATTAATTGCAGTAATTTACCAGAGATTGCTAAAAAAGCTTCTGAAACACCAGGTTTAGTTGGGCACCATGCAAGAGAGGGTGCCACCTCCTTGGCTAGCGCGCGATTTCTAAGGGGATGGCTGGGTTGGCTGTGCTGCACGCTTCCTTATGTCTCACAGTTGTGCAACTTGCCATAGCAAGGACAGGTGTGCAACTACTCTCAGTTATTTTTAAAGCAAACTCCACAAAATGTTTCAAGCTGCTTGAATTGAGATTTCACTTGGTGCTTTGTGAATTTTGCAAGAAAACACAAATCCATTCTAAAAATACTAATAAATCAATCATTTTACTGTTTTGATTTTTGAAGGAACACTTGCGAACAAGATTTTGTTTGTGGAATGATGAAATATGTACTGGTTGTTACATTTGCCCAGGGTATCCTTCTGAACCAAAATAATAATTATAGACATGACCATTCTTTAATCAAAAATTTAGATGTGTGATGACTAGAATTTTATGGATTTTTTTTTTTCTTGGGGAAAAGAACATTCCTAAAAAATACAATTCTGGTGACAACACATTTCCTTTGCTTCAGTAAGGGCGATATTACATAGAAAGAAATCACAAAAGTTTTCACTTGATAGCTGGAGTGGTTACAGAGAAAATGTTACTTTTCTGATGAAAAGTAGTGTTAGAAGAAAAAGCCGTTTGAAATTCAAGTTGCCACAGTGAAGCCACGGTTCCAGGCGTGTTTTGGGCCATTTTTAAATGCTTTACACTGCGTGTAAAATCGCGCCATTTTGTCAAAGCAATTGTCGGTAATGCTGGAATATTGTGTTATAAAAGTTAGAAAATTTAATTTTTAGTCGAATTTGCCCTCCATCTCACCCCCCTGAAGGGGGGGTGTTGCAATGAAAATTACCTTTGTTATTTATGAAGCTAAAGGGATGACTTTTGCCATGCAGATGTCATTTGTTGTGCTGATATCATGACTCAAATTGGTTTTAAGCTATTTAATAGAACTTTTGAGTTACAACACTTGATAGACTCTCATTGTCATTCCAAAATTAATTAGCTAATTTGACACAAGTTCATCAAAATTTTTGCATAAGTATATTTACAAGGGTCCATTTTGTGCTGTAATGCTATTGGTTTATTTTCAATATTTAATTAAGCACACAAAATCTTTTTCTGAAATGTCCTGGACATATTGTCGTACCAACAACTTTTACAAAAAGCCAATTACAAAAGTCTGTATGATGGGCACACATGTATGAACTGCTTTACGGCGCTCACCAATGTCTCAGAATCCAAGTGCAGGAAACGGAATGGCTATAGCTTAATTTGTTGTGAAATGGCACAGGGATGACTGACAGCAACTGGTCAAAAAATAAAATCTGAGGAAATGGAGCTCGAAGAAATTGAAGCTAGGAGCTGATAAAACTGAACTCGGAAGGAAGCTGGCTTTATTTTTTATTGGACAAATGCATCTTTGTGGCTATCTTGAGCGCCAGTCTGTCCTCTTTATGATGATGCCAGTATCGTGGCACTTTGCTAAGGGAAGGCTGCAAATTTGCATTTTGTTATGCCCAATTTATTCATAGCTTTTGACGACAGCCCACCAGTAAAATGCTTCTTTCTCAACTTCTACTACTTATTTTGATATAAAATCACACTATGGTGTAAAACATGGTGTCAGGATTACAGAAAAAAAAATTAATTGAAAAACTGAACATTTTCACCAAATTTACTATTCCTATCGCCATGTCCCCCCTTAATTGATCATTTAGAACTCTACACCAAGACCTGCACAAGAAACGCATTTCTTTGCATCAATTTGTCTGCGTGGCAGGGGGATGGATGAACAGTGCGGGAATTGAGGCTAGCCTGCTGTCTTTGCGCAGGCTTTGCCACCTTTTCTGCCGTTCTCATGTCCCGACATGTCTCCCCTCCTCCGCTGTCTGCCGCGCAGGGAGAGCGGAGTGACGTTTAACCTCCTCACCAGGTAGCGAATGTTGACTGTGGCACTGCGCACGGAGTCTCCCAAGAGGTTTTGCGCGCGTGCGTCGGGAGCGGGCAGATACTCTGTGGGACAGCTGACGATGAGCCATGCAATCTTTTTCGTCCGTCGACTCCCATCGCTCGGGGCTCGTCAGACTTTGCTGACGGCGCCTCGCACCCGAGGCGAATGCTCACCTTTTGTCGCCCCTCTGCGTACGCTCGGCCGAAGGGTGGTACGGTGTCCTAGTGCGTGGCCTAGCTACGCCGACTCGTCTCCCTTTGAAACCAACACGAGCGCCTTTGCCCTCGCTCGAGCAACCGGGCCTTGGTCCTAATATCTCCGTGAATCTCGTGGCACCCTGTGTAGTACTTTTATGCCCGTGGCGTGGATAAGCCCATTTGCTTTCCCGCCGGTCCTTTGCAACGGGCTGTACTACGTTTGGTCTTGCCACAGACAATAAGGTGGTGCGACCTTGAGCAGTATCGTGTTCTCGCCATGGCGACGGTTAACGCGTTCCCTGCGGCTCGCTAAGACCGGACCCAAGCTAGTGGCCGTACTCCTTCGGTAAATGTGTCACTACAACAGGAAGTTTTAAGAGGGAAGCTCCTTAGGACCTCACAACGTCCATTCAACTTCAATCCGTCTGGGCGCTGCGCATAGTTGAAGCACTTGTGCAAAACATTTGTGCGCAATGCCGTCTACAAAGCATACATGGGGTGCATATGGTTTAAAAAACTAAAAGGCAGCAACAGCGTAAGAAACACCGACATTTAAGAGGAGACGCTCCTCGAAAGAACTTTTTTTTATTTCTAGTCATAGACACTTGAAAATTTTGTTATTAATATAATTTTTCATGGAGATTTTAAATATGCAATCATTTTTTGTGTAGCTGCTATAGTTATTCAGTTATGTTGTGCACAATAGCAAAAAGTTACATGCTTTACGGGTACTCTTTTATGTACTTAGTTAAAGCATTGTGTCTAGTCTTATTTGACTCTTGGTAGATTTTGAAGTGCAAATATCTATCCAGATATGTCACATAAATATTAAAACGAAGAAAAAAAATCGTATTGAATGACTAATTATTTTCGATTCCACTTGAAACAATAACCTAATATTTTTACAACTAAAGCTGGTAGGCATTGCAATTTCAAGTAGATATTTGCATTCTGCATGTGTTGAAGAATATGCATGCCAAGTTTTGTTACTATACAATAAGTATAAGTGCCTATATGGCTGCCCTGAAAACGTGAGATTGTAAAAAAAATGAAAATGAGAAAAACAAGTATGAAAGTCTGGAAAGTTGGCATTTATTAGGAAACCATTTCTTTTTCTTTTTCATGGACACAATGAAAAGCAGCTTGCACTGAATGCTCGAAAGACCGAGAATCGCACAGAATCGTGAAAGTTGGTCACGGCCTGCGCCTATAGCGTGTAATGCCAGAACTGCCATCATATTTACAGCAAAGGTATCACGAAAGCTGCCGCTGTCTAAACGAGCGCATGTCCCTTGGTCCCTGGCCGAAGTAGTACGTCTCGACGCGTGTGTGAATGAAAGTGTAGATTCAGGACAATCGGTATTTTCGCAGCACAGTTCGAGGAATGCCGAAAGCCCTTTGCACTTTCCAGCTACCTCTCGGATGCCGAGTTTCCGTTCGCGGCAGGTTAGACATTGCGTACCTGCTACAAGGGCAGTCAGCGCATCGATTTCCCAAAGTAGCGTGTTGGCAGTAGCAGCACCTACTGGTCTACGTTCACACTCGAAGAATCCGCTCTTCATTTGGGATGCACTGACGAATTCCACGGCAGCGGCTGTTTCACAACCACTGTCGCCGCGGAGTTTGGTGTCGGTGTTAGGCCTATTTGAAGTCGGAGCGTCGGGGCGTTGGTCGGCGGTGACATCGGCGTTCAATGTCGCTTTGGGAAGCGTCCGATGCAGTTTCCTTCAATAATTGTGGCGAGTTCCGAACTTTCGATTATCTAGACTGTGCTTCTTGGGGCTTGCCATGACACAAAACTGCAGAGAAACGCCGAGCAACTCGATTGTGACGTCCGAGGCTTCGCTCTTTTGCCGGAAAGATAGGGAGGGGGAGGAGGCGGAGCGCACCGTCGACCAATGGCGGCCTCACGCTGCTTGCCGCGATATTCAAAACGCATGGCGTATGCATTGTTTTTCTTGTTTTTTGTTTATTCTTCGTGACGATACGAGACTGGCTACTTGTGGATTGTGAAGGGGAAGACCTCAGCATGCGTGCACGATTGAAAATGGCGGTCAACGCATCATTTTCGCGACAACGGGAACTACGCCATTTTTGGTGACTTTCGCGCATTTCTCACGTCACCGCTCCCCACTTGGAAGCATTAGGTCATTTCTCGTGCGAATTTCAGCTTGATATTTTTAGAGGTAAAAGATTATAGTCCAAGGATGCCAATACAACCGAAAAAAAAAAAGCGAAAATTTTCCGGAAACCCGCGTCTCCCCTTAACCACCGATCAAAGTGTACAACAGAGCAAAAGGTTTACAAGAACAAAATAGAAGGTTCTTAACCAGAACAAAGTAGCAAGCCACAACACCATAAAAGAAGCAGTGCCAGCAACATGTGAGCAAACCGAAACATTTATGAACAACTAGAAGGTTAGCAAAAGGGTGTTCACCAGAACAAACAAAAGGCCACAACACCGTAAAAAGAGACATTTGACCGTCCATCAGTCAAAGCATACAACAGAACAAAAGGTTAACAAGAACAAAATAAAAGGCTGTTGACCAGAACAAAATAAAAGGGCACAACTCATGAACCGATACACACCACTTCGCCACATCGTCAGCATTCACTTCGTGGATCTGCCTGTATTTCTTTAGCGCATTTACGATCACAGCAGTGCGACAAAAAGGTTTTAACGAGTGACTCGGATGTTTTGTCAGGTGTGGAACCACCCCGACATCCTGTTCCACCTGGTGCAAGATAAGAAGAACGAGGTGGGCCTAGACATCGACTTGGACATCGACCTGATAGGCCCACCCGCAGTCAAGGAGACGCACGCCAAGAAGCACCACCACCACCATCACCACCACACCAACGCAGCAGGTCAGGCAGGCGACTTGTTACATTTAGGAGCAGGAGGGGTTTCTAGGTAGACTATAAGGAGTGCTAAACATGTTAGCAATTGCACGAGCCCTAGTGAATTTTTATTCCAAAATACCAAAAGCTTCACTTGTGCAGCCTAAATGGCTTTTATTTCCTCCCCCCCCCCCCAAAAAAAAAAAAATTTGGAAATAAGAAAAGTGAACTGTGCATTAAAGTTCGCACACCAAGTTAGGGCAATTTCATTGATTTTGCTGGTGTCTGCCATGGGTCACACAGTTCTTTAGAAGTAAAATGAATTGCCCCATGCTTTAAGCGAGCCGGAGACTTTTCGTAGTAAGTTTGAAGAAATGTTATTGTGTGGAATTATCTGAAATAAAAAAGAAAAAAAAACTTTAAAATTCTTGGCATTAAGCTGATACATGGTAGGGGTTCCGGCGTGAAATTCATGAGGTAGAGCATCTTAATTTTTTTTTTTTTTTTTTTTTTTTTCGGAGAGTCTCGCTAATCTCTGGCAAACAAATGCCGAAGGTCGCGGCATTGAATTCAACCCATGGCTGCTGCAATTTCGATGGTGGTGAAAATGCTTTAGGCCTGTACAGTTGGATTTACGTGCATGATAAAAACGTCTGAAGCATTCCTCATAATCGTTTTGTGGTTTTGGGACATTTAACCCCAACGGTTGATATTAGTATGGGATGAACAAGGCCCGGTTTCGATGTTCTGGTGTTTTGTGTCATCTCAAGCATTGTTTATTCGCTCGTAATATTTATCTTGAAATCCTGTCAGCCAATGCCTGGCCAAACCAAGAGAAAAAATACTAATGCAGAATGAACACGAATTTTAACTGTACACAAGAGAAAGAAAAAATACACAAAAAAACCTTCAAGCCTCCACTGAACATGCAGCGCAGTCAGAGCGAACGCTGGGAGAGCGGCCTTACAGAGCGGTTTTTTTTTAACACTATTTGGGTAACTGCTACAAGCACACTTGCAGGGTGCCCATTATGCCATTAATCGTCGTAATATTTAGTAGTGGGGAGGCATTCACAATGCCATCTTTCGTCATTCTTCATAGAAGTGGGGTACCCACTACACCCTTATAAGCAATTTCTGGATGCGGTGGCTGACGACAATGAAGAATAATGCCTGAAGCTTTTGTTATAGGTTTGCAGCGTTTGAAGACCTACTCGTTAGGCAATTTTTGTTGTGAGATGTGTGGTTCCTTTGCTGGATCAAGATGCTTTATTAGTCATATTAGTGGGATTCCTTTGCCCGCAACAAGCCTGCCCAAGCCCAGTTTGCAACGGAGGTGCAAGCAGAGGTGTGGCTCTGCGGTAGACTACTGGGCTAGCACGCAAGGGACTCCGGTTCGAATGTCGTTGTGTCCTGGGTGTTTTTCATTTACCAAGTTTTTTTGTTGTTGTTTTGCGCTATTGTGGTTACAGACACTGGCGGTGGTGGCGGACAAGCACGGCGCACGGGGCCCTTGTTGTGGTCTCATAACAGCTTTTGCTGTAAAACATACGTAAACACACGCATCGTGCACGCAGGCCTCCCAGACTCCGTAGTTGCGGAAAACAGCTGCCTGGGGCCGGATGGCAGCCTGGTCGGGTGCCTGGACCCCCTGGGTCAGCCGCAGGACTCCCCATACAACGCCTACGGGGCCAACTGTGACGGCACCTCAACGGCAGTGTCCGGCATGAGCCTGAACAAGCCCAAGTACACGCAGGAGCAAGGTGTCATCGCGCCTTTTCGGGAGAAGTCAGACAACAACATCAGCTACGAATGGGTGAGTTTAGAGAACGTTGCAATGTTAAAATTGACTGCACGTGCAAAAACGCACGTGCACTTTGCAGGTCTTCTTCTTTGTATGAAGGGATCTCGTATAAGGGGGTTGCCACATTCTTGTATAACTCATGAACCCCTTTTTCAATGTAGGGGCGTTAGTTGATTGGTCTGTTACATTAGGGCCTCTTATAAAGGAGTTCCACTGTATTTGCAAGTGCTAATACTAGGAATTCAAAAGTGAAGTGAAAATCTTCTATTTGAATTCCAGACTAATATGGTAGTGTTAAAGGTTCATGGGGTTCCTTCTGAAATTGCCTAAGGTGAAAGCAGTCTTCTTTTTTCTTTTGAGTCTATGTATTGTTCCCTTTTCCCTTTGGAACCTTTCTGTATTTAACACAGTTTTGCAGTGCCTCTAGGATTGCAGGCGTTGTAACCTTTGTGCATCTCACCTGGTTTTGCGCTGCCTCCATGATTGGCCAAACTTTGATGAAGCAGCGATGTCATGTGGTGACGTCGTCATGTGTTGTTGCAGTTATGTCGTATGGTGAAGTCATCACGTGTTGGTTTTTTTTTTTTCTTTTTTTTTTTTTTTTTTTTTTTTGCATCACTCGCGTTGCCGCTGCCGGCGGTCGATTTTCGCGTTTGATGAGGCGTCTAAGGCTGAAAGGTCGTGTCCACACCCTCTCCCTGGGCGGTGGCAGGCATACCCGCTGATGGAGAAGTACCTGCCTGACATGCTGGACAACAGCTACAAGTTCCTCGTGCTCATGACAATCGTGGAGCAGACGCTGGGCGTGGGCGACAAGCTGCTCGTCTTCAGCCAGTCTCTGTCCACGCTGGACCTCGTCGAGCGGTTTTTGAGCCGCCGAGAGGTGCCCCTCCGGCCGGGGCTCCCCCACGGGGAGAAGTGGATGCGAGGGAAAAACTACTTTCGTGAGTACATACTGCACCATCAACGGCAGCATCGTTCATCATCGGCATATTCTTACTTTTCCCGCATACGAAAACCATGTTCCGTGAAGCCAGCTATAAACTAACTCACCTTATAGTCTCCTAGAAAGGGGCCTTGAACCACCTTTCCAAGTAATCGTTCAATGACCTCTGTATCAAGGTCTACTGCCTTATGAGTAGAGCTGTGCAAATAGCAAAATTTTGAGTCCGAGGTGGATTCCAATATTGAAGTTCAAGTGTGAATTGAATTAAATATTTTTCTTACATTTCTAGAATATTTTTCTGATACTTTGAAGTTCCGGATACTTCGAAGTGAAGATACAGGAAAAAAAAAGGTTGTAGAGGATTCTTAGGCATATTTTTAGACATATGAGAGGGCAACATGAAAGTGTTTCTTTTTGCTAGGCTGATGAAACGCTGGCGGGTTGTTGTTTCAGAGCTATTTTGTCAAGATTGAGGCAATGCAGAGGCTGAATTGTATTTATGTACATAATTTGGTACTAAAGTGTTGCCGACAACGCTACACATGAATGGTGAGCTCGCCACGGTGGTCTAGTGGCTAAGGTACTGGGCTGCTGAGCCGCAGGTTGCAGGATCGAATCTTGGCTGCGGTGACTGCATTTTCGCCTCCATCGAAAATGCTGTAAGGCCGTGTGCTGAAATTTGAGTGCACGTTTAAGAACCCCAGGTGGTCGAAGTTGCCGGAGCCCTCCACTACGGCATCTCTCATAATCATATGGTTGTTTTGGGATGTTAAACCACAGATATCAATCATCACTCAACCTTAATGGTGAGGATGCTATTTCAACTTCTGGGGAAGCCCAACTGATGTGGCAGACAACAGGGTTCTAGTCTGGAGTTCCGAATCTGCCTTTTAGATGTCAATTTATTATAACACCTGAAATTTTGGATGCTATAAATCTTTGTAGTTTAATTTTTCATGCGTTCTGCCCAAATGTCAGCTCCAAAACAGCATTGAGCCCACCTCTGCCACATCTATCATCTCCATGTTGGAACCAGCGTTTTCTCGATGCCATGCATTTGAAACTGTAGCAGTCCCCGAAAGGGGGGGGGGGGGGGGCAGCTTTGCCATAATGCGATAGTGTGATCGGGTGAAGCATGGTGAAAGTTTGAAGGCGCCTTTGTTAATCTGGCGGCTGTATTTGTCGTCGAGAAGTTCGAATGGTTTTGAATAGTAATATTTCAGTGCACATTAAATTGAATAACAAGTGCTACAGTCAAATCTCGCTACAACGAAATTGGCGAGCTGGGGGAAAAAATTCGTCGCGGAATCTCGTTGTAGCGAAATCCACAAAGTTTGGCAAGATATGATGATTGTGACTCGTTTTTTAGTCCCAGCAAGCGGCTGACTCTCGCTTAGTCAGCCGTGCGTGGCCGAACACTGAGTGAGCGTATTTTCTCTCGTATAACGTGATCAAAACATACAGAAGAGTTGAAGTCTGGGTGCGGGTTATTTGAGAATTTTGGTGGGCAAGTCAGCTTCACGGCAATGCAAAGAAGGCGGCCTTGCGTCAATATTCGGGTAGTTTTTTCTTCCTCCCGCGGTTTGCGGTCGGGTGTTTACAACCCCTCTAGTAGCGGCACGTTGTGTCACTGAGCGTGGCAAATGTTTTTCGCTGTCATCAGGCCTGGACGGGAGCACATCGGCGCAGGAGCGCGAGAAGCTCATCAACGAGTACAACTGCAACCAGATGGTGAGCCTGTTCCTGCTGTCGACGCGGGCGGGCTGTTTGGGCATCAACCTGACCGGCGCCAACCGCATCGTGGTGCTCGACGCCTCGTGGAACCCCTGCCACGACGCCCAGGCCGTGTGCCGCATCTACCGGTACGGCCAGGCCAAGCAGTGCCACATCTACCGCCTGGTGTGCGACAACTGCCTCGAGAAGCGCATCTACGACCGGCAGGTCAACAAGCAGGGCATGTCAGGTCAGTTCCCATTTGGCATTTCAGCGATACTGACTGTGGGCTACAGTTGGTACTGCATATACAGTCAAATCTCATTGTAGCAAACCTCAGAATAATGACTCATTCAAAAATCCCCCTCCAAATGACCATCGGTTTAATATGAAAATGTTTCACTACTACGAATTTCAAAATACCGAAGGTATCAGAATTAGGTATCGAATTTTGTTCCCCGTATATCTCCACAAATCAAAATAATGAATAGCGATTTCAAAAATTTACTCGCAACTGTGAAAATAATGGCCAGCTCTGTACCTGCCACTATCATCATCATCAGAATGCCCGTGTATTTCTTTATCTGCCGGCCCTATTCAAATGTGCGACAGTCCTATCCCCATCAACATTGCTTGGTAACTTGTTTTTCGCGTCAGGCTTTACCCCGTTGAATTTGTTTTGTCGTCGGGCAGCTTTGCCTGCACGCTTGTTACACGGCTGTTTTCTAGCCTTTTGGCTGGTGGTTGAATGTTCCAAGATGAGCTCCAGAAACAGCTTGAAAGGAATGCTACGACAAGGAAAAATACGATACGAGTGGCCTGTGGGTTGAAGTTGCCCATGATTACCCGTACATGTTCCACTAACGCTCAAACACTACGCACCACAGTACGACAACGAAGCATGCGCGTAAGCATAACTGATGACTGATAAGATCCATCCCATTTTTTTTTAATAAGGAAAAGGCAACAAGAGCAAACACGACGTTGAAACGTCTGCATTTACAATTTTTGATGAATTTTAATGATTTCACTAGAACGACTTTTTAAAGTAACGAATTATTCTTAGCAGTCCCTTGAGATTCGTTGTATCGAGATTTCACTGTATTGAGGTTTAGTGCAACGAAGGGATGTAGGGCAATGAGCACATGAGGAAGAACGTTCTGTCTTTGTCATCGTACCATGTCCTTTATAAATCCTACAATGTCACGTTGCGGAACGAACAGCAGAGGACAGGAGGACACAGGATTTTTTACGTGGCATAGAAATGGAACTTGATGCTGTGTCCTCTCTTCTGTGATAAGACATGATTTGTTAGTGCAAAACCCTAAAGAAAAAATTTCATCGCTCCTCCTCTCACAGCAGAAGTCTGTACTGCCTCTGGTGACTGTCCGAAAGTCTATATAGTTTATGAATGTGTGGTTGTATCTTGAGGTTTTACCAATCTTATGTCCAGTTGATTGAAAAGTTAGTTCTGTTCTCTGCTAAAATAGGGAGCCTCGCTTATATATGTGTGTTGGTAATTTCCAGTGCGTGGTACAGCTGCTCTTGTTGCTTTGCAGATGTGTTGTTGGTCTGCTGCTTAGCATAGGGAGAGAGGGGGCGGGGGGGGTGGGCAGGTTCGATTCCGAGCCACATTCAAAATGTGCCGGTGTACCTTCATTTTGGTGCACATTAAAGAACCCCCAGTGGTCAGAATTAATGTGAACCTAATCTTCATTGTGAAATAAGTGTGGGGATCTTGCCGTGTGATGCAGACCGTGTGGTGGACGAGATGAACCCGGAGGCCAACCTGACCTGGAAGGACGTCAGCACCCTGGTGCAGGACAACGAGGACGACCCTCCTGTGCAGGACCTCTCGGCCGTCGCCGGTGGGTTCTCCGACTCGGTGCTGCGCACGCTCACCATGGAGTACTCGCACTGCCTCACCAAGGTGAGTGTCGTGTCACATTATACTCTCGCATCCTAACAAACTGGGAGTGAATATGGCACACTTCATTCCACTCGGTTCCTTCAAATAAGTGGAGATTGATGTCCAGTCGCAGGATTCGCATGCATGGGTGTTCAGTACAGGTGTTCAGCGCTCGAGGCAGGCAAGTGTTTTTGGGTTCAAGAGATGAACGTTGAGGTGTTCTGTGCTATAGATGCGTGTTCAGGTTTTCTGTGCAAGAGGGAGGCAGACTGCTGGTATTCAGTCGCAAGGGTTGTGCATTCAGGTGTTTGGTGCTAGAGGCAGGCAGGTTTTTCAACGGTTATATGTTCAGATGTTGTGTAAGATACAAGTGTGGGTGTTCAGCTGCAACAGTTGAATGTCCAGGTTATCGTATGAAGATTTATTCAGGTAACAAGTGTGCAGATGTCTGGATGCCCACATGTGCTCTTGTTGGTCGCATCTACCAGCCTGCGCCATTCCCGTGTCCCTTCTTGTCCCTTGTGTATATTTTTCCTCATATAGACATTGCAGCCAAAAATTGCCAACTGCTGCGACCTACTGAATTAACAAATTAGACATTGCCAGCTGAACTAATGAGGTTTTACTGTACATTTGGTGGTTATGATATTATGTGTGTTGTACAGGCACTCTCTTCTTAATAGTAATGTTGCGGCATCATCACTTTTTCCTTTTCCATGCGTTATGTGTAGGAACCGTTTGAGCACGAGTCTCTCCTGCTCGACCGCAAGGACCTGAAGCTGACCAAATTTGAGAAGCGGCTGGCCAAGCAGAGCTACGAACTGGAAAAGAGGGCCACCCTCCACGGAGGTCGTGCGTACATGCACGCGGCCAACTACTCTAACGGGTGAGTCTTAATGAAACGAGTTTTAAAGTCCCGTTGCGAATTTTTGGCTGCGCACTGGAAATGTGAAACCAATGGTGCCACTTACGAAGGGCCCTCTACCCTAAACATCACTCAAATCAGTTGGTTAATGGACAAGTGAGAGAAATTTGAACTATTCGTTTGCCCTGCCTTCAGGCAGGATGCACAGAAAAACACATACAATGTTTTGCACATTACCGATGATTAAAACAATGCCCCGCCACGGTGGTGTAGTGACTGAGGCACTCAGCTGCTGACCTGCAGGTCGCAGGATCGAATCCCGGCTGCGGCGGCTGCTCTTTCGATGGAGGCGAAAATGTTGTAGGCCCGTGCGTTCAGATTTGGGTGCACGTTAAAGAACCCCAGGGGGTCGAAATTTCTGGAGCCCTCCACTACGGCGTCTCTCGTAATCGTATGGTGGTTTTGGGACGTCAAATCCCACTTATGAATCAATTAATGATTAAAGCAGTAATTAATGTGTAATCAGGGCTACATTGTTGGTTCACTACTATGGGTTCAATGGGGATGAGGCAGAAAGGTGGTCAGTGCACTAGTGAAACACTTATGGTTAACTCGGGGATGAGGCAGAAAGGTGGTCAGTGCACTAGTGAAACATTTATGGTTAACTCTCAGTAAACGGAAATGTGTTAAACGAAACTGCTACTTAAATGGAACAACTGCCTCTGATATGGTTGGTTTCATACTTGAATGCTGCGACCCACCTCACCTTTCAGTAAGTGGAACTCCTGGTAAGTGGAACACATTTTCCTGGTCCTTTCAGGTTTCGTTGAATGAAAGTCTGCTGTATTAGCCTTTTAACGAGGAATATGCTGCCGGGGCCTGCATTGTAGAAACACAAACACATAGGTAGCGCCCATTGCGAAAAGAGTTAGTATGCCACTTTTCTAAATGATCCTTGAAATGTCACAAAAAACGAGTCTCATTTTAAGTGGTTTAATAGGTTAGGTTAGGTTAGGTTAGGCCAGTCTTTCACGACTTCTCAGAATTTGGTTTCTGTTACCAAAGCCTCTGAGTGGAATGCAGCATCTCATTGCATAGAAAAGGGGGTAGAATAGATTTGCATAGAATAAACCATAGTCCAACATTGTGGGTGGTTACTATTGGGAGTGATTGTGAAATGCAAAAGTCCGTTGTTTTTATCTTCGTTGCCCTTGTTCCATCACTATTTTCACTTCGATGAACACTCCGTGCGTTGACAGCATAGTGGTACTTTCTCACAACACAGGTACCAGACGTGGCAGAACCGGCAGGGCACGGTGACTTTCCTGGGGCCTGGCCCGACGCAGACCACGCCTTCGCCGATGCAGCCTGGCTCGCAGAACGGGGACATGCCCGTCTGGGGCACGCCGAACGTCATGCAGTCCCTGCTGCGACAGGGCATGACTGTACAGAGGATGCGGGTGCCTGCAAGTGAGTTCTTCGTCGCTCTGTGCGTGAGGGACTCCAGACAGTTTTCTTGGTCCGTTCCCTAAGAAATAGAATTTTCGTTAATTTTCAGGTTGTTTTTGTCTAATTCTTCAGTTTGACATGCCTGATTTGCTTGACTGTGTGACTTGCCTCAGATTTTATAACCAGAAAGAAAAAAAAGAACGTGGTGTGCCTCTGATTTTTACAGTCAAAGGCATTACCTGCAGAATTTGTGAAGTCATTTGTTCCCAGTGTTGTCAGGGTCAGTTATTTGTTGCTGACAATGGCTCTCTGCCATTCTTTACAAATTGGGTAGCTGCTCACACTTTGGCTAACCAAGTTGTCGAGCTGTGCGAATAGCTAAATTATGGGTGCTAAGCAGATATGATTATTGAAGAGTAAGCGTGATTTGAATTGAATATTTTTTGAATAGTTCTAAATGTTATTGAGGGGGAGAAAAGTTAGAGGGGGATTTCCAAGCATATTTTTACGCAACATAGAAGCATGAAAATGTTTCTGCTAGGTTGACGAAACGCTGGCGGGGCAGTATTTCATAGTTTTGTTATCAAGTAGGCAGTTGCAAAAGCCGAGTTGAATCGGTGCATGATTCGGTGCAACCAAGGTGTTGCCGACAACGCTTCACCTGTGAAAGGCAAAGGTGCAACTTTCTCTGCTTCTCGTCCTCTTTCGATTTCTGTGGAAGCCCAACCGATGGGGCAGACAAGGTGTTGCTCCCTTCTAGTATGGAGTTCCAAATCATCCTTGTAGACGTCAGCATACATTTTTGGCATCCGATTTCTGGACTTTCTGTCCGAATTTAAGGCCCAAAACAGCATTGTTTGAGCCCCACATCCATCATCTCCATGTTGGAACCAATGCTTTCTTGAGTAAATACATTTGCAGCCGTAACTGAGCCTGAAGGGCAGCTCTGTTGCAATACGGAAGTGTGACGAGGTGATATGTTTGAAAAATTTGAAGGGGCCACCTTTATTCGTATGACTGTATTTAAAAAGATTCGACTGTCGCAGAGCTTGAAAGGCAGCTTTGCTGCAATACAAGTGTGAAAAGTGTGATAAGGTGAAGCATATTAAAGATCTGAAGGAGTCAGTTTTAATCGGACATTGACTCCATTTGTCATGGCAAAGTTTTAATAGTGAAAATTCCAGTGCAAATCGAATCGCAAACACTATTCGAAAAAATATTCGAGATTTTGAATATTCGCACACCCCTACCAATTTGGTAATTCGTACAGTGACAATAACATGGCGACAATAACAAGATGTGGCTTTGTTTTTGAAGCCATAACTAATTTTTAAAGCTATGTTTTCATAATCAAGGTCAAAAAAAGAGAGAGAAAGAGAACGTTTTCTTCATTGTCGCCAACGTGCACATAAACTGGTTTCGTCACAATCTCATGACAGTGATGTCTTCAACACGTCTCTTTACTACCAAGTGCGCCTCTTACACTCTTCAGGTTGTCTGTTCATTTGGCACACATGTTACTTTTCGACTGATTTTGAGCGAAGCCTCTATGCATTACATACATTGGTGATGGCAGCGTAATCGTCGCACTATGCTGCAGCCACCTCGTAGTTTGCGGGCGTACTCCGGTGGGCCCTCGTGGGTCACCATCGCGTGTGTATTCGCATGCGCCTTTTTGATGCTCTCTTGATCGCGAGCTTGTTGGTGACCAGCCATTTCCCATTTGGCGGTCTGACATTTTTAGAGGTGGGAATTGTAATTTATTTGCAACATTTTGCTATTACCTCAATATGAACGCGTAAACGTTGCTGTAGCCTGTGAGAACTCTAGTGTTGGGCTGCTAAACCTCGTGGACAAGGGTCAAATTCCTGGCAAAGAGAAAGGAAACACTTGGCAGGGAGCACTCCACAGTACAACAGACAGATAGAAAAAAAAAACAATAGTATGTGAAGCATGCACATTGCAAGCTTCAGTTGCCCCAACTTTTCCGACAGGGCAATGACTTCTGAATTTCTATTTATTTTTTATTTATTTTTACAGTCGACTCTTGTTAATTCAAACTTGAAGGGACCTCTGAATTTGATTTGATTTGAATTATCAAGAAGTTTGAATTATTAGAAGTTCTCAGATAGATGACTCTGGGCGGGGTGACACCATGCATTATGATGAGGCACTGATTTTATCACATATAAGCATTTTTCCAAGTGTTTTTAGGTCCTAACTGCACGCAGTGAACAGAAAACAGAGGTGTAAAGTTCACAAGTTTATTGATTTACTGCTGATCAGACCTGACCTTTTAAATAAATCGTGGACTGCCAACTGCTTTGTATGTGCCTTCAGCACAAAGCTCTCTATACCAGTTAAGGGGAGACGCTCCTCGAAAGCACTTTTTTTTTGTTATTCAACTTAGAGCTTCAGAAATTGGACCACTGATGCAGTTTTTCCTCCTGATTCCAAATCTGTAATCAGTTTTTACATAAGTGCAATAGTTTGGGAGTTGTGTTTCAAGTAATGGTGAAACTTGATAAGTTTTCCGGGAACTTTCGCGCATACTAAATGTTCATGCAGAGAGTTGTTCAATGGCTCCTTTTGCTCCCTATTAGCCATAGAGTGCCGATATCTAGCTAGAAATTGTGCTCCAACTTTGAAACTATGAAAAAAACATCTGTGTAGCAAACTACCCTTTTTTTTCCACTCGACCACCATTAAATTTATTAATAGATATTTACAGCTGATAGGTTGTGCTGATTCAAGTAGATATCGGCACCCTACGCACTCTCCTCAATGTGTGTGCCAAATTTCGTCGTCGTATGACCATTCTAAGTGCCCGAAACACTTCCCGCAAAAAATGCAAATTGGCCAAAATTGCGAAATGAGAAAAACGCGTTTGAAAGTTTGAAAGTCTGTATTTACAAAAATGAAAAACGCAGTAGCACGAAACTTGTGCTGAACACATACACACATGTCCAGAGGGAATATCAGTTGTCTAAAACTCTCCAGCACCGTAGGTTTTCCCTTCCCGGCTGGTGCGGCAGGACTCTTCCACCCGGGCCCTCTTGGCTGCACTGCGACGGTGTGCCCTCGCCTCAGCGGTCTGACGCACATTCATCTTGTGCATGCGCATGCTGTCTCGGCGGTCGCTGAGGGTAACCAGGGCCTCCGAAGGAAGCACCCCAAGCTCTTCCAGCACCTTTTCAAAGCTCGCGTGGCCCCGGTTGAACCACAGGACTGCAATGGCTGTGGCTGTTTCCACAGCAGTCCGGGAAGCAAACCGGGTCTTTGGACACAGCAGCCATATTTTGCTGTTCAGGGACTCGGCCGCGTTCTGTGTCTTGCCGTGGAGGCACCGGGCAAGCAGCTTCGCATCTGTGAGACGCTTGTAGATTGGGAGGACTGCCAAACCCTGGGCCTTGGTCAGGAGGGGGGTGTGGCACGGTGCAGGCTGGCCCTGCGCCTCAGCACGTCGGTGCTTGCACCACGAGTCTGGGCCTGCAGGACAGAACTTGTGACTTCCAGCACCGTCTGTTGAGCACGAGTGCAAACATGAGGCCCATATGGCAGTGTACATCTTGTGGACATTTCCCCGATTGTTCACAATGGCCACCTGAAAGTAAGTTTGAAGCTTCTGGATGGTGGTCTCCTTCAGCTTCTCCCCTCGTGGAAGTGGCGTTGGCAGCTTCCGCAGGCCGGTGCCCAGACGTTTCGCCACGTGGTTGGTGCACTCCTCTTTTTCAATTGGAGTGTCAGGGTACACGTTGGCATCACAGACCCCGTTGTAGGCCTTGCTGTCTCCATCGCTTAGGAAGATGGTGAACCGCAGGGGTGTCTCATAGTCCACAGTCCTCTGCCAAATGCGCACTGCAGCTTCGGCCTCCATGGCATGCGAAGAACAGTCGCAATTCTTCTCACAAACGGGATGATGAAACGCCTGCCATGTTTCTTCATCGCCTCCCATGTCGCTATGCAAACTGCACGCCAGGCAGAAGTTGGAAAGCACTTCATAGTCCAGGCACAAACCAGTGTCCAAGGACACTACAGTTCCCACACCATTGTGGCTTTTGTGGCCTCTTTTTTGCCATGTGCCGTCAAACATGACTGGCACGTCACTGTTACCAGCCACCTCTTTGGTGACGCTGCGTGCCCTTTGCATGTTTTCACAGACAGCCTTCACTGCCGCACTGTGAATCTTTTTGCCGATAGCATGGAAGGTCTTATGGTGCATAGGGTTTGGCAATCCAACTACTGCACAAAATCGTGAAAGTTGCTCATGCCCGATACCGACGGCACGCGCTGCAAGCACCACTTTCAGGTTCACGGCAAAGGCGTCACGCGAACTCCCGCTGTCGTAGCTTCTGCTTGCACCGCGGCCGCCATCTGACGCGACCCGCTTCGACGAGTACGCGGACGAAAGGATGCTCTCCGAGCACTCCGCATTCTCGCAGTGTAGCTCCAGAAACGCCGAAAGGCCTTTCCGCTTTTTATTCGGTGCCCGAACTGCGAGTTTACTCTCGTGACAAACGGGGCATGCCGCGCCTGCGACGACGGCCGTCAATGCACCCAACTCGCACAGCACTACGCTTTCGGCACGATCGGCATTCGGCCTGACGTCGTTTTCGAATAACGCGATCTTTTTCTGCGATGCACTCACAAAATTCACTGCAGCGTTGATCTCGTCGTCGCAGTTGCCATGGTCGACGTTGCCGTGGTCGATGTTAGGCCTACCGGCCGCTGGCCCGTCGCGGACATTTTCGTTGGCGGTGGCTTTCTTGTACGTCCTCTGCCGCTTCCCTCTGAACTTGTTCTTACTTCTGTATTTCCGATGGTCGGCAACGGCCTTTTTCGGGCTTGCCATCGCACGAAAACAGCGAAAAATAACTCCGGAAAACAGTGAAGCGAACTACGGCAAGAAAACACGGGTGCTGTCAGCCAATGGCGGCCCTGCGTTAGTGGCGCGCGGTTTGAAACGGCGGGAAAAGACTGTTTTTGTTGCTTTTTTTTTAGATTTTTCGTGAACGTACGAGACTTCAAGAACCGGGATCGTGGAGAGTAAGGACAACTCTACACGAGCCAGCGGCCGCAATATGGCGGACAGCTCTCTTCGCGGCCCCGCGAGCACGCGAACAGCAGCCCGTTTTGTGTAAATTTCGTGATGCCGCGCGTCACTGCCGCTCACTCAGACGCGTTTTTCACTGACTTCTGATGCTTATTTCGCTGTGATATTTTCAGATGTCAAAATATAATGTATAAAGATGATAAAGCAACAAAAAACAGAAAAGGTGAAATTTGGAAAAAAAACGCGACTTTTCGACCCGCGTCTCCCCTTAAGGGGAGATGCTACTCGAAAAACGATTTTCTTTAATAAGAGTCTGAATTTAACACAAATTGGCATGCTAATAGAGTTTTTTCTCCTCTTTTTAAATATGTCATTTATTTTCATGTAGATTGCTTGGTTTTCTTTCTGCAGGTCAGATACTGCAAAATTATGGCCATTGTTATGCAACAATTCTGACCTATAAAAATTTGAGATTAAGCATGCAGATATAGCTGACTATGATCCTTTGGAACTGTAGAGTGCAAAAAACTATATAAATTTTGTGTGTAAAAAGGTGAAATACAATAATAAAATAGAAAAATTTACTATGGCTCTAGTTGCCAAGGGCTTTCAATGTTATGTAATTTTTGAAAAACATAATCAAGCAGCACTGACAATCTGAATAGATACTTGCACTCTATGGGCCTTCATCATGCTATGTGCAAAATTTCATAGAGGTATGACAATTCTAAGTATACGAACTAGCGTGTATAAGGAGCACAGATCACACAAAACTGCAAAAGGAGAAAAACGCATTTGAAAGTTTGAAACCTTTTTTTTTTATCACAGAGTTGTTAGAAATGCATAATCTTTGGCCATAATGTTCAACAGAACTTTGAAAAGCACTGCAAGTTACTAGAACTGTCCTGCAGCATAGGTTGTGCCCTCACGGTCCTTGCGAGCACTCTCTTCTAGCCGTGCCCTTTTCACTCCACGACGACGGTGGGCCCTTGCTTCTGCTGTCAGACGCTCGGACATTCTCTTGATGCGCCTCGCATCGCGGGAATCACTGAAAGTAACTAGATCTCTAGATGGCAGTATGTTGAGCTCTTCCAGGATGTGCTCGAAAGTAGCATGACCCTTGTTGAACCACAGGATTGCCATAGCTGCGGCAGTCTCGACAACCGTTCGGGAGACAAACTTAGTCTTGGGGCAAAGTAGCCAAATTTTGCTGTTCAGGGATTCCGATGCGTTCTGGGTTTTCCCTTTGATGCATCGAGCAAGGAGCTTCTCATCCGTTAGCCGCTTATAAATGGGCAAAACAGCCAATCCCTGTGCTTTTGTCAGGAGAGGTGTGTGGCGTGGTGCAGGTTCACCAAGTGCTTCAGCGCGTTGATGTTTGCACCACGACTCTGTTCCTGCAGGGCAAAACTTGTGGCTGCCAGCATTGTCAGTAGAGCATGAGTGGAAGTACGAAGCCCATACTGCAGTGTACATATCCCGTACACTCCCCCTGTTGCTTGTTATGGCAATCTGATAGTATGTTTGGAGCTTCTGAATGGCTGGCTCTTTCATTTTCTGCCCTCGTGGTAATGGCACATGCAGCTTCCGTAGCGCGGTGCCAAGTCTCTTGGCCACATGATTAGTGCAGTCTTCTTTTTCTATATTGACAGCACCATAGACTTTTGACTCTGCAACTGCACTATATGCTTTGCTGTCACCGTCACTCAAGAATGTCATGAAATGCAGTGGGGTGTCATAAGTCAATGTTCTCTGCCAAATGTGCATTGCAGCCTCCGTTTCCATGGCATGGGAGAAACAGTCTGCATTTTTTTTACAGACTGGGCCATGGAATGCCTGCCACACTTCCTCGTCTGGGCCCATATCCTTGTGCCTACTGCATGTCAGGCAGTAATTTGATATGACCTCGAAGTCTAAGCAGAGGCCAGTATCTAAGGAGATAACTGCGCCAATCCCGTTGTGGCTTTTGTGGCCCCTCTTCTGCCAAGTGCCGTCGAACATAACAGCCACATCAGTTTCGCCTGCTACTTCTTTCGTCAACTCTCTGGATCGGCGCAAGTTTTCACTCACAGCTGCTATGGCAGCGGTGTGCACCTTCTTTGCTATTGAAAAAAATCCTCGGTGGTGCATTGGCTTTGGGAGTCCAATAATGGAGCAAAATCTCGACAATTGCTCATGCCCAATGCTGACAGCGCGTGCAGCCACCACCGCCTTCACATTTACAGCGAAACTATCTCGGGAGCTCCCACTGTCGTACCGTTGGCTCACTCGGCTGCTGCCGTCCGCCGTAACACGCACTGACGTATAGGAGCACGAAAGAACAGTCGCTGAGCATTCGCTGTTTTCGCAATGAAGTTCGAGGAGCGACGAAAGTCCCTTGCGCTTTTCTGCCGGCTCCCGAACGGCAAGTTTTTGAATACCGCAAGCAGGGCATGCCGCACCTGCCACAAGTGCCGTCAGCAAGAGGGTGTCGCACAAAACTGTCGTTGCACAAACCTCATCGCGCTGTCTTTCGTCTTTTTCGAAGAAGCTGAGCTTCTCTTCCGAAGCACTGACGAAAGAAAGCGCAGCGTCAATCCCTTCATCGCAGCCACTGTCGCCCGCGCACTCGTCGATGCCGCCGTCAGGCCTAGTACACGTAGGCGCGTTCTCGTTCGTCGCCGTCGTTCGGGGCGCTTTACGCCGCCTTCCCTTGAACTTGTGCTTCGTTCGAAGCTTCTGCGGTCTCACGTTGCACTTTTTCGGGCTTGTCATCGCGGAAATATGCGTAGATGCGCAGAAAAGCAGACGGACCAAATGTCGATGGCCGCCACCAACACAGCTGACAATGACTCGGTAGCCAATGGCGATGCGGCTTAGCGTGCCGCGCGTTTTAAACCGCTCAAACCACGTGATAAAAAGGCCTCGTTTTTTTTTTTTTTTTTTTTTGCCCACGTACGAAACTGGCGGTCGTCGGAGCTGTAAGAAGAAGGCCGGACGCAACTTTCCCAACCGATCGCGATGGCGGGCGGCACTGTGACGGAGAGCAGCACGCAGTCAAAGATGGCCAATATCGGCGCAAATTCACGAAATTTTGAGCCACCGCGATGCCTTCATACACATTTTTTTGCATTTTGTGGTTCGAATTTAGTTTTGAAATTTTCACAGATGAAAGAAGAAGGTTTGAAGATTACAATGCAATAAAAATCAGAAATACGAGAAATTTCGCTAAAAACGCGATTTTTCGACTCGCATCTCCCCTTAAGAAGCATCACGGTTTACCATGCATGTGCTTCGTTTCAAACATTTGTTTACTTGCAAAGCCTTCTTTCTTGAAGGCCTCGGGTGCTTATTTTTCATTTTTAGACTGTTAGGATTATGTAAGCATGCAAATTTTTAAATAGTAGTGGGAGAGTAGCAGATCTTTTCTGGTGTGGAACTACAAAAAGTATGAAATAACCGAAAGATGGACTTTGAAATAAGAGGCTTTTAAATACATTGAAAGAATAGAGGGCCTACCAAACAACTGAATTTTGTTTGAATTAACAAAAGAACATGAATTATCAGAGTTTGGATTATCGCTAGTCTACTGTATTGATTTATTTATTTCAGAAGAGTCACCCATCCCTTTCTCATTCCCATCCACCCCCGATCCTAAGTTTACGAATTTGAGAGGCTCCAGTAGTAGTATTCACCTTTGGCATACGCTCAAGCCCGGGATAACAGAGCACGATGGGAAATTCTCCCACTTGCAGAGGTCACCATACCGCTGAACAATTCGTCGGATCCTCCAGTGGAGATCCCACCGGGAACCGAGATTCTGGTGATGAAGACGCCGAAAGGCGTGTACCTGCGGATTCCGGACGGCCGCATTATCGCGGTGCGCCTGCCCACGACTGGCGAGATGGCTGCTGCCGGACAGTCGGGTCAGTGTCGTCGTATTGTTCTGGTTTTGTTTGCGTGGCTGCCTGTGCAGTTGCTGTTTTTCTCCCCATCCGTACCGTGACGAGTAGACAAATGCTTTTGAGGCTCCTGGAAAGGGTCATCTTTCATTTTTATGTTATTGTACTGTGTACAACAAACAAAACAAGCCCTTAAATTTACACTTTCCATCAATTCCATGGTATGTACTATGAACGTGCTTCACACCGAAGCCAGACAAGGCGTATAAAATATTTTACGTTGTAAATTATTAGTCGCCCAGCATCGCCAAACTAGCTCCACTGCAATGGGCGTTATCACGACAAGTCAACACGGTTCACTACGCTTGCGAACTCTGCGTCCCGTATCCAGCCTATATTACAGAAATCGCTCTCACAGTCGCCGGACAACAATTCACTCGTTTACGCGAACCATGTGTGACTGGCAGCAAATGGCACAGGTGTACTTACAGTATGTCGCAAGTTGCAATTTTTCTGTGATGTCGGGCGTGTGTTGACACGTCACTGCGAAGCCCTCTTTATACCGAAGCTAGAAGTGTTCTATAAAAAATTAGTGGTATTACACATACATTCAATGCATTCCCGAGCACTGCAACACTTTTTGTATGGTTCCGCTCACCAATGTTTTTATTTAGAGTAACATGTTGAAAATACTGTTTCAAGTGTGTGTCAGTGTCGACTGACGCATATTTTCAAAACGGAGTGTACGCTGCCATACAAATATGCTCTTTGCAGAAACGGTTATGAGCAAGTGTGAAGCTTAGTAAATGCTGATAAGGATTGTGAAATGACCGCCGTGGTGATAGGGACGGAACTTTTGCACGACCAGACCACAATATTTTGTTTTGCAATTGAAAAAGTCAATTTTTTCATGGCACACCTACTGACATCGCCACTATTGTGATTTCGGGCTGCAGTGTCAAATCTAGTGTATTTATGCACTATTATGTAGGCTTGTGCGAATGTTCGAATATTACTGTATTCGATTTCGCTTCGGTTCCAATTTAAATTGTCCAAATTTTAATTGAAATGAATGAATAGGTGTGTTTTAGTCCGCATGTCACCCTTCTAAAAGTGGTTTCGCTGCTATGAAGGGCTGTTACGCCGTGAAAGCACCCACCCAGGTGTACATTAATATGCATGTAATTGACTGTAAAGATGGTTTCCCTGCAGTGAAGAAGTGCTAAGCTGTGAAAACATCTATTCAGGAGAAATTTGCCTTGTCACAATAATTTATAATTTTTTAAGTTTATAAGCTTGCTATTTTGGCTTATATGCTCTAAGTGTAGTAGATAATAAAATGTAACATATTTTATAGGTTATCATCTCCATTCTACCAAAAGTCAAATCCTGCTCCTACTTTCCTTGAACAAAAAAAAAAGGCATTTGCATAGGCCTAAGTTCAATTTTAAATAGATACTGTTTAGAATAGTTAGATCATGAAAAATATAACATTTTTTTTCTGTATTACGTGATATATATACTATTCGAAATCAAATCGAAATTATCTGACTAAAATCACTATTCCTTTGAACCTGAAATTCATTATTAGCACAACTGCTGACCCGCAGGTTGCGGGATCAAATCCCGGCTGTGGTGGCTGCATTTCCGATGGAGGCGGAAATGTTGTAGGCCCGTGTACTCAGATTTGGGTGCACGTTAAAGAACCCCAGGTGGTCAAAATTTCCGGAGTCCTCCACTACGGCGTCTCTCATAATGAAATGGTGGTTTTGGGACATTAAACCCCACAAATCAATCAAATCAATCATTATTAGCACAAGCCTACTATTATGACTTGTGATGACATCGGGTACCAAGATATTTTTCATGGCCACTTGTGCGTCGCCAGCAGATCCACACACCGCAGTAGTTGTGGAAAAGTCGTGGTATCTTGTGCATGTGCACAATGAGAAGCTCACTCCGTTTCGTGACTTCAGGGCACAGTAGGAACCAAAACTAGCTTTTAAAAACGCGCTGCAGTTACTTTTCAAGGCAGACTCGCGCTTGCAAGTGCATTCATTTGACTCTTGGGAGCTTGGTATTTCTATGTGATGCTAGGAAAACGACACTCGCACCTCATTATAACAGTGGCACCTGCCACGAAGATACTCTGTTATATCTGAAAATTTGTTATAAACATATACTTGTAGCACTTTATCTGTGACAGGGCTATTCATTTGCTTCGTTACAACCGATAATTCGTTATATTCAGGCTTGTCATATTGAGGTTTGAGTTACAGCCAAAAAGTTTTCCTGTCGATACCCCTTTGAAAGGTGTGCCACTCATATTTTATCTCCTAATTCTATTCCTTGATCAAAACTATGTCTCGAAAGTAAACATAGTTTTGTGCACTCGTAAGGTTACCTAGCTTTTCTGTATCTATTGATTCATGTTTTTCCTCTCTAGTTGATTTATCTATCGTATTTACTCGCATAATGAACACACTCGCATAATAAAGGCATCCCCAACTTCAGTCGTCAAATTTTTAAAAATTTTTCATCTGTGTAATAAATGCACCCCCTTACATTCATTCGTGGCAGTCCCGCTAACCGACACCTGGTGCCTCCTCGCCCATTTGATCTTTTTGTTTTTTTATTATTATGCCTCAGCTCGCTCCTCCCCCCTTTCGCCTGTTGCCGCACGCCATATTGTTCTTCTCTCTATCTGCGCGCGGCACATCTTCGGTCTTTTTTTTATTATCCGCGCGCCCCTGTGTGTTTCCCGAACAGTACGAATGCAGAGACATCGCAGCTGACAAGCACACAGCGAGTGAAGGCCGCGAAACTGCCTGCGCCAATTGACCATCGCTTCCTGCAAATACGAAACTTTTAAGGCCCGACCACATGGTTGGGCCTCTTTGAGCGACGATGACAGAATCTGCTGTCGCGAAGGGCCATTGGTCGCAAAAACCAGAAAAAAATCGCTTGTCGCCCAGAAAAGATAGTGACGTTTTCCGCAACATGGTAGCACCCGCTAGTCTTGCTTCGGTTGCAATTTGCTCTTAATGTTTCTTATCCGCGCGTACTTCAAGGAACGCTGGGTATAGGCTACCTTTCATAGAGTAACTTCTCATGTGGACAGCGACGCGGCGGCCATATTTTTCATCAATCTTGTTATTGGTGGTTCGGTTTGATACATCGGTGGTTGCTTGCTCCAATGTTGGTCATTTGCTGCAATGTCAAACAGCGTCGTTGCGCAAAGTTGCCATGAAGTTGGCAAAGTGCGTCAAGCTTCAGGCACACCTCGAGTTAACAGCAGATGCCGCTGTTGCGACATGATTGCGAGAAAAGAGAGCCACGAAACGCTTTTATGGAGTGTGCGGTTGGGGCAGGGACAGCATGCTGAAGATGGCGCCTTCAATTACGGAAGCTCAGTGAAGTGCAACAAAGAAGCTGTTTCCAAACAGTGTACGCGTATGTCGATTGTGAAAGGCTAAGCGAGGTGATTTTTTTTTTTCGAACTTTTTTTTTGTTGTTTTTGCGCTACTGCGTTTTTTGCTCATCCCAAAAAATCTTTCACAAAATTTGCCCCGCATAATAATCGCACCCCCAACTTTGCTGCGATTTTCAGGGAGCAAAAGGCGCGTCCATTACGCGAGTAAATACGGTATTCACACCGTTGGTTATGTTTTCTGCTGCATCGCTTGCATTTAAGTCTGTCTGCACTTTTTGTTGTTGTTGTTTGTCTTCATCAGCCTTGTGGAGGGTGCAGGTACAGTCTCCCGAATTCGGGCCTTTATTTTTTTGTATTTTCGCATAATCATGCTTGACAAGGCCCGTTAGATGCAAGCTTTTATCATCCACGGTTCATCCACTGTTTACCAAACATCTTCCCATCGCAAGAGCAGTTAGGTTAGGTTAATTGAAAGGGTAGGTAAGTGACAACGATCCGAGTAAACCGGCAAACGTTCTCTCATTAGTGACCTTTTATTCTCATCCCTCGTGCTGCTTTTGCCCTGGATGGTAGGGGTTGGCGTGATGTACCAAGGGTTGCTAAAATTCGCCCTCCCCCCTAAGGGTCCCCGCGACACTTGGCCGAGTTATAGTGCTGCATAACGTAATATTATCGTGCTTCATGACGCAATAATAAGGAGAACAGGCAATGATGCCAAGAAAAGTATAGGAGATGTTATTGGCAGCGATTATGATAAAAATTTGAAGGAGAAGTAGGCAAAAAGATAACATGGCGCCAGTAGGATCTGAACCTGCAACCTTCGCGTTACGCGTGCGATGTTCTACCACTGAGCTACGATGGCAGTCATCCCCCCCTCTCCCCGTTCTCTTTATATGGTATATATGTGCATTTAAATGCGAGAGCGTCAGTCAGCTCTGCCTGCTACCATTACAGCGAATTTGGAACACTCCCTTTGCCTGTTGGCGTCGTGTGATCAAATTGTCCGATGCTTCACAAATCACATGTCGCAAAAAAAATTTCTTCAATCCGTCAAGTGCAAGTGAAATTAGGAGGATTTGTCGCACACTTTATGCATTTTCTCTCTCGTTTCGCACCAGCGAGCTTGCTGACAGCTACGCAGGGAGGAGCATGACGACGGGACAAGAAAAGGCGCTGCACGTCATGTGCTTGAGCACTTCTTTATCCTGGAACGCCTGCCTTACTTTAAGCATGTTTGCGAGTTGGTGTGGGCTCAGAGCGGCATCTCGTGATGGCAATGGAAACAATACAGATCACAAGCCAACAGTTGCGAGCTTGGCTATATGGCGCAGGCGTTGGGTATACACTTAAACCTCAATGTAGTGAACTTGGATATAACGAAATATCGGTTAAAACAAATCAAGCGAAAAGTAGTCTTGCAATAGCTGTAGTGTTAGGAATATACCTTTATAACAAATTTTCCGATGTAACGAAGTTATTTTTGTGTGAGATGCAACTTTGCTATAATGAGGTTTGAGTGTATGGTATGATTTGGTAATGTGTAAGACGATGGAGCGATTTTCGGCTGACTTTGAGGATGAATTGCGAATTCCAGGCTGCGTGCTACGCTATAATATTTGGCTCCAGAGTTGTTGGCAGCCACGACTACCAATTGGCAGTGTTCTCTAACAATGTTGAAGAAGTGTTGAAGAGACCCATTAAAAGAAAAAGGCTTTACATATTATCATTCTTGTTGGACACGTCATTTCGTTGAATGTCATTAAGCTGAAGTGACAAGAAACGTGTTGCGCTCTTCACAGGTGAATCTTTGGGTGGTAACGCTGCAACGACAAGTGCAGGGAACAAGAAGTCCTTTGGCGTAAGTACTGCTGCGGCATTTATTTAATAGTAATGTTTATTAGTGGTACTTAATAAAAATACTGCTACTAGTAGTCAACAATTTATTTGGACACAGCAGGAACCATCGAAGAGACCAAAAAAAGTTCAACAAGAGTCCCGTAAAAAGAAATCACAAAATAAAAAGTACTTTCCAACAATTGTTGGATTAGTGGCCACAAGAACTTCTCAGTGTGTCTACGCACATGCCCGCTCACATGAAATTAAGACTAGCTAATATCTGTAGCTACGGCTGCTCCACTGTTGCAGCAAAATTAGATTTGCTTTTTGAAATGCTGTCTCGCGCTGTTTCTTGTATTTTTTGGGGGGGGGGGGGGGGTATTTTAATGTGCCTGCAAAAATTCTTTGGAAAATTCTAGTCTTATACACCAGGAAATGCTAGGCTTGTGCGAATATTCGTACGAGTATTACGATATTTGGATTCACTTCGAATCAAATTCTTACTATTGTAAATTTCGAAGTGTTCGAGTGAACGAATATGTATATATTAATTCGCATGTGACCCCCCTGTAAAGGTGGTTTCACCGTAGTAAAGAGGTGAGAAGCTATGAAAACAACTGTCCAACGCAAATCTGCACTGCCAGGAAGCTTTACTTCGAGGTTAAATGAACATATTACCCTCAAATAGAATCATCATTTTTTAAGTTTAAAAGCTTGTTATACTGGCTTTCATGTTGTATGTTATACCAGCTTACATGTGAATCACTAAAAATTTTTTAAATGCAATACATTTTACAGGTTATCACTTGTATTTTACAAACTGAAACTCTGCTACTATTCAAACTTTTTTTTTCCACTTCCTTTGAACCAAAAAGAATGGCATTTGAGCAGGCCTTTTTCCAATTTTCATAAATGTTTTGCATGTTATTCCAATTTTCAAAAATGTTTTGCATGTTAGTTGGTTCATGATAAATATGCCCTTTTTTTTTCCACGCCTAAATCTTGGCACCAAAATTTGAACGCACCCCTAAATTTGGCATCGAAAATGAGCGTTGGCTCGCAGCAGTTTTTCAGAAAGCAGTAATCCAACAAAGAAATGGCTGGTCAATGGAAGTTTCTGACGTAGGTGTAGCAGGTGTGAACTCTGCCAAAAGCGTCGGTGTGCAAGTTATCGGAGCAATATTCAGTCAGGGGTAGAGCTTCAGTGGAAGTTTTGCGAGACCAGCCTTCATTATTATTTTTCTTTTTCTGTGCTTCATATCACAACACACTGTGTTGCGTCGAAATTAAATATTCGTAAACCGGGGGTTTTGTGTCTTGTCCAAATGTCGGCTCCGGCGCACACCACAATTTTTCACAGCAAACTTCAATCTTCATTTTTTTTGTGTGTGTTGCACTGAAGCAACACAGTGCATTATGGTATTTTTTCAAACGTTTGGAAAAGCAACCAACATAGTGCTTTTTTTAGAATGCTTCATGTAATTAACATAGCCTTGGCAGAAATGGATGTGTCATACTCACAGATGGAAACTCCACACTTTTGGGCTGAATAATGCACATACTAACATTTCCATCATCTTCAGTTCGTGTTGTATCGGTGTAATTTAAATTTGAAATGCGCAGACAAGAGCGAAAAGTATCTTTAGAGATCTCGGATTTATCGCGACATGATGCAGTTATCGCAAGCAGTTGCGCATACCAGCCATTATAAAATCATGTGATGCTTCACTTGGGTCTGTCACTATTGTACATGCTGAGCAGTCGATGTTATCACTTCTTTTTCTTTTTGTTGTAGGTCTGCATTTGTATTTCATGTTTTGATTTTACTCACACCTTGCTTGTTCCAGTTACTGATGTTTATGTGACCGAGTAGTTCAGTTAAGGAAATTTCTTAAAGCGGTATAGACCTTTTCAAAAACATTTCCCTGGGGATAGTCCTCTTTGGGCTGCGCAAATTGGCGTGACCCCTCAAAAATGCACTGACAAGGCTGCACTCTTGGCCTTTGTACTCCCGTGCGCAGCCCATCATTGTCATGTTTTTTCCCTCCTGTGAAAAGGTGTATAGTTGCATAAACGGAACAACTGCCTTTAGAATGGTTGGTTTGATGCTTGAATTTCTCATTCATGCTCAGCTCTCAGTCAGCAAAACTCCTCTTAAAAGGAACATATCAAACACGCACCATTTCTGACCGAACCAAGCTGTTTCTGTCAGATATGTCTAGGCACCTAAGTCCGGCTACTCTCGTGGATGTCCCATTTGCTTAGTGTACGCCAGAATTGGCACAGTAGGAGATGAGTGTATGGCGAACACGACTCGCACGCCTGACATGACTAACGTGACTTGCTTGTCGCGCACGTCATGAAACCCTTTCCACGTGTGGCAAATACCCGCATTACACAGGCTGTTTGCAATGTGTACGTGATTTTAATATCCTTCTTTCTGTTTATACGTTTATACTTGTGGTATCGGCAGTAGCCAAACGAATCGTTTCGCACTTTGGAAGCTTCTTTCGGTCAATCGTTCATGGCACGACTGAGCTTGAAACGCTTGCCGCAACCCGTTCCTTCCCCACAGATTATTCAGCCGTCACTGCAGTGCGGAGGCCGAGTCCAACTGTCGGCAGATGCAGAGCGTCGGATCGGCAAGGGTCCACCTGAGGTGATCAATCTCGACGACGACAGCGACCTGCCGGACGAGAGCAGCGACGACGACGACGCTCGGAAGAACGGCGCCATCGTTCCCATGTCCGCGACGGTCAGGGCGCCAGTCATCGACAAGCCCAAGGAAGCAAACGGTGGCGCAACCAAGCCAGTACCGGTGTGACGATGGCAACAGCGCTAACAAGCTACAGCGTCTCGTCGTCGTGGATCTCTCGTCTGCCTGTGTGTGCGCGTTCGTGTGGGTGAGAAGATCGTCAGGTCGTCTTCGACTGTCCTCCGCGCATGTCGTGGCCACAGTGCCGCATCAACAACCAGGAGAGATAAAACAAAAAAAAAAAGTGTGTTCCTCGAACGTATGTGCTCCCCGAATGAACAGCGGCCTTTATTCCAGCACTGGGTGCGTAATCGAGCGAGGGAACAGCAGCACCACTAAATAAGAGCATTCCAAAAAAAAAAAACGGGAAAAAAAAGAAAGAAAATGAAATGAGAGATGCACGACGCCTTCCACACCCGTATGGATTTTTGTTTCCCCGCTTCGCTATCCAAGGTGGCCGTATGAAGTCTGAATTTTTTCCTTATTTTGCCCGAGGAGTGTTTCAATTAAGAGAACTGGAAGACATAATGAACTCATTGTGCGGAAACTCCATGGACAGCTGCTGCGTGTAAATGTGTGCGTGCTTGTGTGTGTGTTGCACCAACAGAAGAAAACAAGGTGTGTGTTAGAAATTTGAAATTTATTTATTTAAAGAGATTGTAAACAACAAAAAAATGAACTGCCAGAGCAGCGCCGCGAATCCCAGACTCGGCGAGCTGCGATGACGAACATGGATGAAGGAGAATCGGCGCGGGGTTTTACTTTTAAAACCGGAAGAGGAGCGTGTCCTCTTTTTTTTTTCTGCCAGTGCAGTATTTAAACTATCTTTTTCATTTCGTTTTTCTTTCCGTTCCATTTGGCGTAAAAAATCGCGATGCGCGTGTGTGTTGCGCCTGGGTCTTGGCGCGTCGTTCAATCTAGTACAGTCCTCTCTCCACCGTCGCGTCTCTCTCTCTTTCCTCTATTTCAACTTTTATTTTACGGTGGCGTCGCACTCTGTACAGAAGCATTTCCGACGCCTACATTCCTGGTCTCAACACCTCAACTTCCTCAACCTTCCCTCAATGTGGTGCAAGAGACAGACAGTTCAACGTTTCTTGCCTTGACCTCCCATGTCATCGAGTCCTCTGCAAGTGTGTGCGTGCGTGTCTATTGTTTCCCGTGACTTCTGCATTAAACTTTATCATTTCAGTGCATCTAGCCAAGGGAGATAAAATGGAGAATGTTTCCTGAATGCCTTGTTGTTGCCTCAGTAAGAAGAAAACCCTACATGTCTTGCGAGTTGGAAAATTGGGCGGTGGCAACACGAATGGCGCCAAAATGTACTGCGTTGAAGTGAAAAATTGTCCAAGCTAGTACGAATTTGTGATGCGAAACAGCTCGCAAAGATGAGAGACGGGTTGAAACAGGAGAGCACCTATCTTGTTTTCCTTTTCTCTTCAACCCATCCCTCGTTTTTATGCACCAATTTTCATCGTGGCTGCGTACCAAAATTACGTCAAGTGATGCCACTGATTGCCGAAATAGGTGACGTCACATGATAATGTGGTCGTGATGTTGGCAAAGGTGGTGTGATGTAACCCTGGCTGGTAATTGCTCCACCTCAGCAACTCGTTACGTGCAGTGTATCTCACCATGTATCACTGAAACCAATCTCTTGCAGAAAACGTAAAGATGTTGTCATTGCATGACACCATCACCTGTCCAAAAGACTGCTGATTCTGGAAGTAGCGCAGCACTAGGTCGGGTTCAGAAAGCTGCGGATGAGGTAGAGATGAGAGAAATAATGCAGTCAATTGAGGACGTCGAAAGTATGTCGATGCGATTTAACGACGCTGAGCCATGCTCCTTCCAAACAAGGCTGCAGAAACAGCTTTTACTCACTTCAATCTCTCATCTCCCTCAAGTTACTGAGTTCCCTGTGAACGCAGGTTTCTTTTTTTTTTTGTGCCTTTGCCTTTCATTGTGTTTGAAAAAGATTGTAATGTTTTACGTACCTGCCAATTCTACCATATTGTCCTTAAGACTCCCAAATTATGAATTAATATCCCTATTGTATGGATGCTATCTTGAATCTACCGAAAAGTGGCCGCCACAGCAGAGGCGTTTTATTTTTCTCAATCAGGCGCGAATGTCGGCCTTTCCTGCTGCGACAGTTAGGTGCTGTAAAAAAGCACTCGTCACTGCACTTTTAGTTCACTGTAACCACTAAGTATGTACCAAACATCTGGTCGAAGGCTGGCAGCCATGGGACGTGCTTGCCACCATACTAAAAGAAGGCGAGGGAAAGGTACCACAACTTTAGTGCCTGTCTTGACCCCCACATTTTGTACGTTAGGCCTATAGATACGCCGTTGGCCTAGGCGTCAGTTGTGTTTAGTGATTGTGGGGGTTGCATATTTCCCCGAGTTCAGTTAGAACTTGAAAGGCCGGTGGCGGTGTCAACGGCAAAGAAGAGGCACGCGCAAGTGTTTCTAGACTCGTACTGACCCGAGTTTTCGTGCTTCGTAATTTCGCGGAAAGGTGACAAAGACGGATTCTGTACCACGTGCGACAGTGATGTAAGCATTTCGAACGGCGGCAAGGCTGTCTGAAAATGTACATCACTTGATGAGGCATCAGGACTACGTTTGTGTTGTGGAAGGGCAGGGCAACATCTCAAATATCGTTCAAAGAAACTGCCAAGGCAGCGCAACTCGTGCAGAATGCATATTCACGGGATTCTTTGCGTAACACAACTTGCCACTAAGCATTAGCTATCACGCAGGACCGTTGTTTCGGAAAATGTTTCCGAAGAGCAAGAACGTGAAGTGGTCCGGGTGCGGACGTACTAGAACACCTGTCATCGTTGGTTAAATGGCTGCAGATGGCATTCTGAAACGCTGTGCTTTTGCTATCGCAATGAACAGAAGCAACGACAGGGGGTCGCAAATGTCTCGGTAATTTTCAATATCTCCCCCCACCCTGTGCGGTCTATCGAATTTTCATGCTGCCAGTTTGGCAGGTACACATTTAGTTAGGCATTGGAGTCACCATCCTTGTTTCTTGCCCGACTTTCATCAGCAGCAACAACTGCGTTATGCACAAGGCAAGTGATGAACCTGCTACACAGGCTGTAATGCATGCCTTCAATTGTTAACTTCTTTCTCAAATTACAATGTGCCAACAGGTGAAGGCAAATTGGTTTTCTAGCCTGCAGTCTAGTCATTGGCACTTTAGTCGTAATAGTGCAGTGCCAAAAGACAAAACCTCCATCTTTTGAAATTATAGTGCATAAATAACAGGGTTCTTCGCAAATGTCACTTAAGTTATGAAACATGTCATTGCTACAAGTGTAGCAGGTGAATATTTCATGAAAATTGTTTTGCTTTAAGAGGATGCACCATAAAAATAATCAATTAAAACTGGTAATGTATTCTGTGACTGCTTTTGTTAATATTAACCCTTTGTGGTCTGATAACTTGGTCCTTCTCCTGTCCGTTCTGGTTCGAACCTTTGAACAAGTAAAGCTCATGTAAACACAGTTTACGTATCGTTTTAGAGAAGGCGCGTAATGTAGTGACAAAACCCGTGCTTGAATCGACCTCGGAAGAGCTTCTCCAGCAGTGGCCATCAGCAGACTGCTGTAGCTGCATTTCGTTGGGAGGGGCCCACCAACACTCTGCAAAAAATTAATTCATTTGCCATGTGATTTTCTGATATGTAAGCATCAAGCAACAGTGAGGAACTTCCAGGGCCGAGCTTCAAGAAACGCTTGATGTCAAGCAGCCAACATCCAGGCAGGAGCGACTTCATAGTGCAAGGCTGCCACCAACACTGCGGCTCAAGCAGTGTTGGTGGCAAGCAGTTCGTTGGCACAGTAGACAATGAAACGGCAAATGTGCCCAACCACACAAGTCCCTGCGCTCTCCTCTCAACACAAGCTATGCGTGCTCTGCAAGGGCTTTGTTTGCCGATGCTGCTGAACTAACAGCTCGGGCACATGCTTAGCATTGCCGGAATCCAGTTTCGGGCCACTAAAGAAGTAAGTCATCGCCGCATTTTGAATATACACGCATGTCATTTCAAAATGTCTTAAAAGTTTCACGGGTGTTCGGTGTACTGAATGTACACAGTCGTCTTTTTATGAAAGGGAACACATGAGGCTTGTGCTTAGCGGCAGCTGCCTTAAGCACTATCAGCAGACAACTGGCAAACATGTCCTTTTTTGGCATCGTCTATTTGCAAACAAAATGTCAAGTCATGGCCACTGGACAAGCGATGCTAGACTATGCACTTGCTCCGGTCTTAAACTGGTGATGTCGCCGAAAAGTGGTTGTTGGTTGATAGTTCCGCAGGCAGCCACTGCAAAGCGCAGTCCACAAGCTTGCATGTTCCCTTGTGAAAGGACGACAGTGTACGTGGAAGTTTACAGTAGATTTTTCGTCTTGCGGTGAAAGCTAAAAGCTGCAATTAACTGCTCGTTAACATGCAGCACAAGATGGTCGTGTGCCAAGTGGGCTGTTGCATCATTTGCATTGATACTAGGACTGTAAGCTTAGTTTGGCAGCCGCAATTCAACCAACAGTTTTTGGGGCATAAGGGAGCCCTCACTCTACAATGTATTTAATATATATGCAAGGTCTTCATCTGGGCTAACACGGCTGAACACTGCTAGCATCCTGAAGGTGGATTGGATGCAGTTTCACTGTTAATTTAAATTTGAATCACTAGATAGTGAATAGACATCGGAGCTGAAAAGAAAGGCTGTGGTTGGTTGAAGCTGAGCGCCAAATGAGTTCTGGTCACCTCATGTGATCCAGCATTGCAAGTGCTGTGGCATGTGATCGCTCATCACTCTCAGAAACATGCTCACTTTTGTACCACGTTTTTATAATTGGAAGTATGTGTATTGCCGAAAGGGAAACAGTTTTCTTTATTCATGGTCAGACGGAACGTTAAGAGCACTTGTCACTTTTCTTTCACTTGTTCCTTTGAAATTTACCGACGCAACATATCCATAGTCGAGTTTGGGTCGTGAAACTTGCTTTTAAGTCGCATGAAATGGTATGAAAGTAAAGCTATCCCTGAAAGTGTTTATACAAACATTAGGCTTGTTTATGCTCGATCTCTATAGCTTATCCAACGAGGAGCAAATGAAGTAGTGCACAAAGCCGTTTAATGAAAGGTGAAAAAAAAAAAAACTGCCCAAGAACCATTGCTTTCAAATTTCTCGTAGTGCAGCAGCTCGTCTTCAAACAAGGCCAGTGGGTGATGAGTAGTCACGATAACAGTTCTTAGGGAAATGCACCTGGGGAGATGAAGTTACTTTGTCCGTACATATGCGCGCACAATCTTGACGTCTTCGAGTGGATGGTCATTGTTGTCGGTGGGGACTCGTCCCATGCGATGGACCACGGTCATGCCCGACTGCACTCTACCAAAGACTGCGTGCTTGCCGTCCAGCCACTGGGTCGGGCAGAGCGTAATGAAGAACTGGCTACCATTTGTGTCCGGACCGGAATTGGCCATCGACAGCACTCCAGCTCCTGATGGAAAACAGTGCCAAGAAACCAAGCCATGGTGTTAGTATACCATCTGTGGGCCATGAGATTATGGCGCAAACATGGTGACAGCACTAAGAGAGAGAGAAGCATGAAAAAGTTAAGGGGAAAACTAGACGATAATAATTACCAATTGATGGGCATATAGTTATTCTTTAGTTTCTATGGTTCAATTCTTCATATTATCAATGCACACGTCGCCAACAAGCTGCATCTTTTACCCACCTGTGTGCTTCAAGTCGGGGTGTATCTCGTCGTCGAACGTCTTGCCATAAATGGACGCACCGCCTCTGCCTGAAATCAAATTATTGTTTTTTTTGTTAGTTTCTATTAATGTTGTAGTGAATGCAGAACGAGTTAACACAAAATATCCTACTACAAAAAAATGCTAAGTGAGAAGTTGCAGACAGAGGAAAAAGGGAAGTCGGGAAGTTAACCAGAACGATTATTTGGTTTGACACCCTACCTTACGAGCAGGAGACAGGAACTAGAAAGACTAGAGAATATTTATGAGCAATGGGTGTACACACAATTGTGTTCACAGCACATGATGAAGTTGCACAGAATCGCTCAAGTAGGACATAAGCACCCGACGCCTGGCGGCGCAAACATGATCGTCTACGAAAACTCTAGTACATCACATCGGAGCGAGTTCGGTTGGCGCATTCTGTAATGCAGTACAGGTAAGGCGAAAGCTCACACACGCGCAGAGAGAATTACACGCGACAACCAGAGCGCTTGGAGGCGTCTTTTCAAACTTTGTTGCTTCGCCTTTTCATTTCGCCGGCAAGTGTCCGCGCGAGCACGCACGGTCTCTACCTGTAGCCGTGGGGTCGCCGCCTTGAATCATGAAATCCGGTATGATTCTGTGAAACTTGACGTTGTTGTAGTAGCCGCGGCGGGCAAGTTCGGCGAAGTTTCGGCACGTGTTAGGGGCGTGCTTCCAGTACAGCTCTATGGTTATGTCGCCCATGCTGCAAGTAAACAAGAGAACAGCGCAACCGGCATCACCGTCATGCATTCCCAACATGGTAAGTAGCCCTTCAAGCATTCTGAAAACACTAATAACGGGCCAAAATGAGCATCATGTTTTCATTTGCATCGAAATCAGTTCTACAGTTTGAGCCATAGACAGAAAACTTACGTTGTTTCTAGAGTAACGTACGGAGGCTGCCATGATCTATCTGGAATGCCCGTCATTTTTGCGCTTTTTGATCGGATGCGGCTGCGGATTGTCTTGAACTCGGAGAGTCGTGTTGGCGTTCTAGCGCGAATTTTGAAAACCTTAATTTCACCCAAGCAGGCATTCCGTCCGGAGAGTGTGGCTGTAATTGGGGACTGTGGTTGTAGAATTTATCAACGTCTACCTTTGACAGTGTATGTGCTTGCCTGATAAAGACCACGCCATTTTTGTGGTGATAGTGCAGGTTTTTTTTTTTTTCTTTCTCGTTGCCACTCTTGTACACTTTTTCTTTCTGTGCATTACGTTTCACTTCCACGAAGTTTATCTACTTGATGGCGGCCTGTTGCTTTGCATTCGCAGATTGGAATGATGACACACGGTTATAACAACAAAGTTATTGTATTTACCCACAATACAAGATAACACAATCCCTCATAGCGCCGCGAATAGCCGACGGCATGCAGCCACTTCAAGAGCCAAACAGCTGGGGTGCGATGAGGAAACAGCTGGTTAACATCCTCGAATCACGGATGATCTGCCCCTGTCTTGATGCCTTTGCCTGCTGCCATTGCGTCCAGTATTCGGCCGAACGAGAACGTCCCGTTGTTAGACGCCTCGCCGGCGTAGACCCCTCGATCCTGCGAGGTCGGTGGCGCTTTGACGTCTTCAGAAGCGGATGGTGGCGTTTGCGACGGCGTTTGCTCTTCGAGACTGGCCAGAGACGACGGCAGCGACTCCGGCGGCTGCTCGGAGCCCTGCGGTAGCGTTTCGTTCGGCGCGAACTGTATGTACTCCACGCAGGGAGACGAATGGTTGTGGTTCCTGGCGTCTTTCGCCTGTGTCTCGACGAATGTCACGGCCGCGCCGACGACGCTGACCACCAGGAACACGCCCAGGACCACGAAGACGCTGATGATGGTCTTCGCCGAAACGTCACCTGATCCGGTCGACGATCTGTTGGCGGCCGCTGCGGCGGCTGCGGATCGCGCCGTCGCGGCCGCCTTGAACACGGCCGCCGCTTTGCGGGAGGCCCAGGAACTAGACGCAGTGGCGGCCGAGGAAGGGTTTGTGCTGGGCAGGGCGTCCAGAGAGGCCATCTCGATGACTCCCAGGTGCATGTTGAGCGAGCACGTACGCCGGGCTCGGGTGCAATTTTACGCTCGACTACGATCGGATGATGGGATGTGCGCTCAGTGGATATCTTTTGGGGAGGACCGCCGAGGAATGTGGCAGAGCGCGCCCGCCGGCCACGACACGGACCGTGGCTCGCACCTGGGACGCTGTACTCAGCGCGCGCACGGTTTCGATTTCTTCTTCGCTTTCAGGTCGATTCCAGCATGGCCGAATCTTTATAAATGGTGCGGTTCATGGCCATCTGTGTGCCAGGACTAACCAACCCCCATGCAAAATGCCAGTCAGTGTAAACTTGAGGTAGAATACATACGGTACGCATTAGTTACTTTAGCGGAGGTGCACATAAAGAATGCCGCCCGAATCTTCCCACGGGGGAACTCGAGTAAATGCTTCGCGGAGTGGTGGGGGTATCGCATGAATGTTGCTATGCGTAATTGGGTATGGTTTCGGAATGCTTAATTGTCATTTCGTCTTTATTATTCTTACTTATAGAATGAAGGAGAAGCGTTTCCTTCAACGTCAAGCGAAAGCCAGTAAAGACGCCCTTGGCTGAATTCCGAAAGCGCGATCCAGTGCCTACAAATTCACCTTTTTATAAACGCCTCCCTGGGCGCCGCCATAGCCCTCCTTGGGCTATGCAAATTGGCGCGTCACCTCGAAAATACACTGGCAACGCTGCGCCCTTAGCCTTTGTACTCCCGCGCACAGCCCATCATGGCGGTGTTTTTTTTTTTTTTTCCTTCCTGTGAAAAGGTGTATACGGGGTAACGTCACGTGACATTTTTGTCATACTTTCAAAATGCCACAAAATGTTATGGTCCCTGTTGCTGTCCCTTTTTCTTTCCCTGTCTGCATGTTATATTTTCCCCCTATTACGCCTAAGCATTAGATATGCATCCAAGTGCATTATACACCGAACATTGCAGACGATGGACAAAAGATTGAGGCCTAGGAATGCCGGCAGTGTCTGTAATTACTACATGATCAATTCACAGATTGTAGCAACATGGCAGGTAACTTGCCGAGTTCCATAGAACATGCTTTCATGAACATCCGAGTCAAACATTATTCAACCATTCTGCTTAATGGAGTGAGGCATGTCTAGTTCAACGTACTCTAATGGGGCTATTCTGTAAGTGTTCTCCTTAGAACGGGGACAAGATGGAACGGAAGAACGAGAGGCGAACTGAGAGAATTCAGAAATGCTTTCATCGCACGATTATATAATTAATACAGCCTTACATTACTATTGACAGGCATTGTTTTTGAAAGCTTTAGATTGCGGAGCGGGAATAACAATTTATTTGTGTTAATGTCCTGAGTAGATGCGAGGTGATGTTGTAATTTAATCAATCGTTTGGTGGTGATTTTGAAAGCAAATTGGAGTAAGCCAAGCGCAAAACAGGCTAAGTCGATTCTCTGGGCTCAAGAGCTTACGTTTCGATCCAATCCACGTAGTCCGGAGACCGTTCTGTATTCATTCTATCGCGAATTGGGCCTCCGCCTGTTCTATTCACATTTCGTGGCCCCTATTCTCACGCATTGACTCTCAGAGTAGCCTTGAGCAATCCCGTGTAGCTCTCTCTCTCATTATTTAGTTCGATCCCTCTTTTGTTCTAGAAAGAATGCTTACAAAATAGCCCCGCAAGGTTCTGTTGGGTGCTCACGGATGCCTTGTGATGAGTGTAGACCAGAGGGTACTACAGTAGCGTGTCAGCCAATTCCTATAGTGTTACAAACCTGTTACAGACATAAAGTTTTCTAAAAATAACTAGAAGGAACCTTGACATTGCGATCGTTCAGCCACCATGGGAATGATAGGTAGCAGTGGCATGACCAGTTTTTTTCGCTATGGCATACAGGGTGAAAAACGAGCATCATTCCAGAGAGGTGCCTTCTCCCCCCCCCCCCCCCCCACCCGAAAATATTTCTGGCTACGCCCGATGCACCCACACCTCGATATAACGAAATATCGGTTATAACGAAGTAAATGAAAGTCTTGCAATAGATATATTGTTATAAATGAATGTTTATAACGAATTTTCGGATATAACGAACTTATTTTCATGCAAGGTGCAATTTGGTTTCAATGAGGTTTGAGTGTACACAAATTTGTCTGGTCTTCGTGCTTGTGGCTTTGAACACACTTGTAGATCGGTGTATTGTTGTGTAGTAACTGCTGAACTTTGTCTTGCGGCAAAGCGAATTTAGGACTCAAGAGCCAAACGGAGCGAGAACAAAGACCAGGCAAATTTGTGTACTACCCATCATTTCCATGCTGGCTAAAGTGCTGTGCGTTCTAGCTCCCATAGAATCTAGCGCCAGAGTTCTCTCTAGTAAGTATGGTAGGAAACTCTACGGTGACAAATAGGAAGCTGACTAAGAGTGTTTTGGATGGCTATGTAGACTTCCATGCAGTCCCACACATATACTATGTACCCTGCTTGCGTAGAAGTCTACATGGACTACCCCTACTTCCACACAGGGAGCTGGCATGGGCGAGGTCCCTCATACTCACAGTAGTGAGAGCTCACTCAAAAGATTCTGCACGCAAGCTTCTTTTGTCTCTTTGAAAACTTCTCACGTGTCCACTGGCTGGATTTATTCCAGCCTCACAAATCAGCATTGCTTCTAGACAAAACCAGGAGAAACTTAGTAATAAAAGACTGACCGGCTCTTTAGCGTCTTTTGCAAAGAATAGTCAGTTCCAGTGCAAGAGCGAAACGATAAGCGCAGTAGCGACAAATCTGAATATTACGCAAAATAAGGCTGGCAGTACGCTCTTTTAGCATCCTATTTGGCGTAACTCGACGTAACACTGGCGTCAAGAACGAGGCAGCTATAGTGGACAAAGTGTTAAAGCAAGCAGCTATGGGAAGGTGACATATACGCAGGCAGGAGCTGTCTGCGCTTTCCCAGCGAAGATAGAATGCCCACGCTTAAAGTACGCAGTTCCTCAGGAAAGAAAAGGAAGGCAAGCTAGACCACCATCTGCTCTCTTCCAGCAACTTCATGTTATGCCTGTAGTTTTTATTTTTTTTGTTCCCTCACACATTGCATGTTTCTACACCTCTCGAGTTTCTTTGTTTTACATACATTACACTGCTGCAGCAAACAAAAAAAAGGCAGGGGAGTTCCTTGCCTGAAAGAGAGAGCAAACGCAGGAACACTTTCTTTTACATCACTAAACAATGCCTGTTTTATTTCACTAAAAAAACACTTTGTCTTAATCTTTTTTTATTAAATACACATCTCTGTACACAATGGGGGATTCCAAAGCACCTGTGAAAGCAGTCTGTGCAGCATTAACATGTGCGCTCCCTCGTGCGCAACCTAGGAGATAAACGGGAACAAACACTTGTTTATTTCATGCACACGCACGCATACACACACACATCAAAGCCATTTTTCATTAATTACAGAGTCATCTTTTCTGTACAACCTTGAGTGAAAGGTAAAAGGAAACTAGGTGCAACCCTTGCCTTATATCTACCAACATTTTTTTTTCTGCACCATGTTTCCTTTTTTTTTTCCACATCGACAGTTTATGTACAAATGTGTGACTATGGAGTGCCACCTCGCTTGTCCGCCTCCAGTCTTTGGGATGGGCTGAAAAGAAAAGAGAAGGATTTAAAAAAAAAAAAAAAAAAAAACAGGAGGGGCATGGTGAATATCCCCTTCAGCAGCAGCATGTACAATTGCGCACATAAAATTCAGAGGCACGTCACGCGCCGTGTGTCTATTGAAATGGCTTGAAACGTGATGTGAACATTCATGCAGGCTTCCTGAGTGGACAAATACCGGTCATTTAGCTTCCTTATGCTGCGTAATACTGCAGAGGATAACTTTGCTGGTGCCACTGCCATGTTGGATGATTGGTTGACGTGCCATGTTCTAGAACACACATCGACAATTTTTTT